CGGAGCTCCAGCAGAAGCAACCGCCAAACCAACGCGAGTTCGATGCATCCCACAGGGGAGCGAAGATAATGCGCGTGGCGTTCGGGAAGTAGGTCTGCAGGAGATCCAAGTCCCTTCCGTTCAGCGTGTCCCGATCCCGCGGATGTAGTAATGACGGCAACTGAAAGGCAGGCTGATTGCTGGTCTGCGAGGACGTTTCCTCGTCAGACGAAAAGGCCGTTCCATCGCGATGGAAATACCATAGGGCTCCTTTGCCGAAACGCTGCATCATCCGCCGTAGAAAGTGCCGACTTATTTGCTTTGCAGACGTAGCGTTTGACTCATTTCCCCACGACTCGTCGTGGGCATTACGGGTCGAGATAGCCCAAGTAGTAGCGGCGGACCGTGACCCGGTGGTTGTGTCTTCTAGCAATCCTTCGTCTTCGTCACCGTCGAACCTGTCCTTGACAGCGAAAATTGCGACCCCTCCCTCATCCCCAAGGGTTAAGCTTTCACGCATGAGGTCTGCAGCACGCTGAAATGCCTCGTGTCTTTTCCCGGACGACGATGCATGAGATTTAATGGCAGGTCGATTAGACGGAGCCTGCTGTTTCGTGGGGCTTGACGGTACAGAATCGGAAGAAGAGAAGTTATTGTTCTCTGTCGGGCTTATGTTCTTGACAGGTGACTTTGTACTTCGGGAGGTAAGCTTCGGGTCGATCTCGAGGGGTGAAACAGGCCGGGGGCTGGGAGTACGCGATCGGTCAAGGTCGGAAGGGCTGGCGCTTCGTGGAATGGCGGAGGCTGGAGATTCTTCTTTGCCTTGGTCTTGGACAAACGAGTTGAGCCCCGACAAGACTTTCATCAAACGAGCGCTTTCGAGTGACTGCCGCGAGGTTTCCAGGTACTCCATCACTCCGGTGGCTATGACGCCCAGGCTCTCCTTGTGGGCAGCCGTCAAGGACAGATTGGGCCTCGGATCGATGACATATAAGCTACCAATGTTGATACCACTGCTGGTCATCAGGGGTGTGCCAGCATAGTAGCGGAAAAACGGAGAACCGGACACGCAGGGTATTTGGCAGAAATTGGGATGTTGTTGCAAATCTTCCACGACGAAGAAGGGGTATTTATCCGCAGTGGTTGGCGACAGGGTAATTGTTTTCTAACACCGATCAGTTAGCTTGTCTAAGCCAGGCGAATCGGATTCGCAGGAGTAGCTACCTCGCATAGAGTGCCAGCAACAGGACCTCGGGAGCAGCCCATCCAGAGTCCATCGCCATCATCTTCATAAAGTGTATTATCCCCGAGGTTTAGCGAGCGTGATGCCTCGGCCACCACATATAGCGTTTCGCGATCGATCAAGCTGGGAACAATTTAGCGGTGGAAAAGCATATGAAGCCGGGCTTGTGTGAAGAGGTCGTAGCGCGATCACGCGCACCACCATCATGTTGAAGCGAGTAAAGAACATCAACAACGTACCTGATGATCGCACGCTGGACGCCTACTTTGACCGCGGCTAACTGGGCCAAGGCAGTAAGGACGAGATTTGGGCTGGCTCTAGCATACGCACAGGTCGAGCCGTGTGGATCGGTGCCCTGGGAAGCAGGGAGCAAGGCAGGGTTGTCCGGCTGAAAGTAATGGAACAACTCCCTGGCGCGACGATCCGCTTCGTGTTCTTCCTGCTGGGAAGCCGGAGAGGCTACGTCCTCCATCGCGTCGACACCTCGGGGGCTTGTCAACCTGCAGGTTAGATGCGGTGTTTCCTGTCTGCTGTGCGTCTCGTGAGACCTCTGTTCCGTTCAGTCCATGTTGCTCAGTATCCTCAATCTGACAATAGAAATAGAACCCAGAAAAGAAATGCTGATGGAATGTTAAGGAAAGTCACCATGTGTGGGGCGTGGGATAATAATGAAATGCGTTTCCCCCGACTTCCCGAAGTTTTCGCCTTCAATGCAGCGTCCGGCGGCAATTGCGTCACATGTGCACCCGCAGAGTGTGGCTTGACCCAACCGGGTCAAGCTTGGGGTCTAGACCGTTGCGCCTGTCCGTCCACCTTGGCCACCGCCTTCCACATTGAGGCTGTGCTGCGGGTCCTTGCAAGGACCAAAATCGACAGATCTTTCTGCAGATCGAGATTCCTACATTTCCGAAGGTGGCGGTCTACTCATATTATCGATTGGGATTGTTGTTCTGCGCTTGAAAGGTGTTTACGGAGGTTTGAAAGGTTAAGTAGCGGAGATCTAGCCACCTGCCTCATACTCGTAGCTTCTGGTCTGGTAGGTACCACATTATCCTGAATATTCGTTGCACTACTAACACCGTAAATTGGTCGAGCTTCTAGAATCTAGACCAATCGTGCATATAAGCTTAATGTATGGTAAGCGGTGAGGGGGAGAAAGCTCTCTCCACTCTTCCAGAAAACAGACGGCTAGAAGGAATGGAGATTCCGCACCACGGGACAGCTGAGCCTCGTGTACCTCGCCCCTTTCGATCCAATACAGAAACCATTTCACTGTACTCAGGTATCTTTCCATGGTCAACGCTGATCGATCCTAATGGGACCATACTCCGGAGGCCATTGATACCTGACATCTTCATACGACCAATAAAACACCGTCGCTTTGAATGGCAGACAAGCCTCCTCCGCCGGCCTAGCTCGCAGCGTTAGTGTGGGGCGATTTATCCCGATCTGGCCTCTCCCTCTCTTTCGCAAGTCGATTTTTTTTTGGCTGAGAGAGGCCGAGAGTATGTCACCTGCACGTTTCGAACTGCCTGTAGTCCGCCGTTTTTCGAAAACGTCTGGTCGATTGTAAGTCCAGTGCGGCTGAGTGGCTCTCATCCGCAGACGATTGACCACAATCAAAGGTTAATAAGGACAGCTAGAACTTGGTTCAACGGCTCGCAGACTTCGACCGACGCTGCGACAGGCCAGTCGGGGCCGAACATGAACCCTAGGGCACTTTTCCTGTAACACCCATGGGTTGCATCAATTATATACAATTCGAAGGTGGAAGTTGTTTCGGGTGGTCGATGTAATTATACTTTAATGATTAAAGACACTGCAAGAACGCTGAAGAACGCAAGATCCAGAAGCTAATAGTCCGATTGTGAACCGCCGTCTGGGAGACCGTTCGGAAGGCCATTCGGAAGCTGGGAAGCATTGCCCTCGTCCGCCGGGCCTTGCAATGTCTGAACCATGTGTGCTTGGTGTTGTTCCATCTCAAAGAAAGAGCTCATGGCGTCGCAGTTCCTAGACGGCCGACCCGAGGCCTTGCAGTTGCCGCAGATGCCCTGGAACGTCAGGGGATCAGGCACATGGAGGCACATGGGGAACGTGCGCTGGGAACGATTATTCCTACAACAATTGCAGGGCTGCACCGGTGGGACGCCTCTCGATTGGATGAGAATGGCCTCGATGATCGGCCGGTCGCCGATGTTGCGTGCAGTAATGCAGCCGCTGCGGAACTCCACGTCTGCCCCCTCCATTCGAAGCAACCGCTCGCCCACACCCCGCACCCTTGCGCCTATATGACGCCGAATTTCATCCTCGTAGAGGATGGGACTACGCCCCGCCGCCGAGTCAGCGTCAATCCGCTCGAAAATCGCTTGGATGGCGCTGTGGCTCGGAGGTCTTGTATACGATGACATTCTGGTGAGTGTGCGTCCTAGGACTGGTGGTTCTTGTGACCATGAGAAGGCTTGCAGAGTATAAGGACGGTAATGAGTAGGTGACAAAGCGCAGCGGGTCCGATCCTTATATAGACAGAATTTGAGAAGGAAAAACGCCTTGGGGACAAAGGCCCTTCAAACGCAAAGTATTGTTTCCTCGAAAGCAAGAAGAGCCGCGAAGATGCCACGATAACCCGGCAGTTCTCATCGACGCATATCTCGGAGTCGGGCAAGAGTCATTGATGAAGAAGGTGGGTGGCCAGAAACGTGGGTTTCCACTTTTGACGTGGGTAAAAGACAATAGGGCTGTTGGGTGGTGCCTATCAAGAGAGATAAGACGCTTCGATACTGCGATTCCTCGGTCTTGTTTCTTTGTCCTTGTGCTCGACGATAAAGACTGACGTGTGAAAGTACGTGAGTACTCCATCTTTCTGTTTCGAGTTAACAAGGCTATGACGGGTTCGAAGGAGAAGAAAGGGAAAGAGCCCTGCAATAAGGTACATTCGGCTATTCCTGTTCAACCATGCCATCAGCGACTCACCTGCAGCCCAATGGTACCATCTTCTCTCGTCAGAAGGAAACTCAATCCAGCAATGCTCCTTCAAGCGCATCAAAACCGCAGACCCATACCCTTCTCCTGCAGCAACCGCTGCAGCGACCGCTTGGTGATCGCTTGGTGATCGCATTTCCCACCGCCTCCAGCAGCTCCGCACTCTTGACGGCGGGATCGGCCTCGACCATCGCCCGGATCAGCGCCCGCTGGTCTTCGGAGAGCTTCTTGGGTCGACCAGGCCGTGGTCGGGTGACGCAGTTCACGCGGTCCTTTTCCTTGCGGATGGTGTATTTGATGCCGCTCAGCGACAGCTCGGGGTGCACTCGGGAGATCTTCCGCGCGCCCCAGCCGATGGAGTGGAGCTCGCAGATACGGGAGCGGAGCTGTGGGGTGATTTCTTTGCCGCGGGTCATTGTAGGATGTCACGGGTCAGGGGGTGCTTTTTTGAGTCGGCTGCAGCGTATGAGTACACTGTTGAGGTAGAGTTAAGAAAGATCAGGGATCGAGGTTGGGTCAGTTTGTTGTTGGTGTTTTGTCTTGTTTTCATCGAACGCGGGGTCACGTGCCTGCTTTGATCTGTGACGCGGGACGTGATGGGATTGTTGATGGCACACTAAAACAGACACCTGAAGATTTAGGCTGCCATACTGCATTCGAACTACTAAGTTAATCTATCTCCACTGCATAGTATATACCTCGTCTCTTGACTTCTAAGATACCCACGAATAGTCTAAAAGTATATCCAGATATAGCATGCAACCCTCACCCTCCCCATGAAATCATACCAACGAGCCCTTCACAATCTCGCCACATTCATCCCCATTGCCCAGACCAACAACGGATCCTCGAGGAACCGCTCCATGTCCTCCCTTTCCATCGACACTCGGAACTCCCAGGGAGCCATTCTGGTAGGCGCCGGCAACACCCAGCACTGCCCATTTGTCCGATTGTCAAGGGTCTCTAAGCGCACGATGTTCCCTAGCTTTTTCCCGAAATTGAGTCCGGCTGTGTTCAGTAAGCGCATGTTGCTGTAGAGGAATTGTCCTTCGCTTGGATAGTAGGACTGCCAGTCGCTGCTGTTATGCTTCTCCCGAACTAGCCCTCGTATGTATTCTTCATCCACTCCGACGCTCGCCTTAAAAGCACGAAAGGTGAGGTCCGCGAGCAAGGCCAGGTCATACGTGCTGAGGCCTGGAACCTGGCGGTACATCTCAGGGGAAGTGTGCTGGGAATCAGTGGCGGTGGCCTTGGCAGGAGAGTTAACGGCGGGAGAAAGGGGTGCGGATGCGGCGACAGGGGCCACGGCATCCCCAATGTAGTTCAGCGGGAGTACGCCTCTCTGGCGAAGCTCAATCATCAGTATGATGGAGGTTTCGTCCGGTCGAGATGCGGGCTCAAGTCTGTGGTATCGAGACCGCGCCCAGCAGAGCCACATCAAGGCTGCAGCTACGTCACTATCGGAGAATATTGGGGTTACTTGCGAAACACTTGGGTCGCCATCTGTAGCCAGTGAACTTAAAAGGTCTGTCGTGATGGTTTGACAGGCCTCTCTGAGACGACCCATCACCTCGAAAGGGACCGTCACGAGCTGGCACGGGATTCTGCCCACGGTCACGTCTAGAGCTGTGTTCACGCTGGGGAAGATGTCAACCCGTCTGATTCCTGGCGTGGCTTTCGTTTGTTCACCCATTGCAATGATCCTTTTGCGACACTCGGTATCAACAGGCTGGAGTGCGATCTGGCGAGGGTGCTTCAAACCCCGACAACATGCAGAAAGAGCCTGAAGAATGATATATACGCCCATTGCATCGACGAACAAGTGGTGAAAGCAGATGCCGATCACTATCCCGTCCTCGAAAACATTGAGTTGCCAGCGAAGCCCGGGGGCGCGTTCCTGATTGACTGCATCCAGCGGGACGGGCCGGTATTTGGCTTGGCCTAAATCACTGCCTGTAACACGATGCGAGTGAACCGTCTTCTGGCGGTAGAAATACTCTTGAGCGTGCACACGTGTTTGGATAAGAGGATATTCCTTGAGACTGAATTCTGTCGGTGGTCGCAACTCAAACCTATTGGCCTTCCCTTCCGGTCGCGAGGATTGACACACATCACCCGCAAGGATGGGATTCTGTGTGATCAAGAACTCTAGCCCATCTTTCAGAATTGATGCGTCCTCAGCCGGCGATTTCGTCGCTAGATAAGGAAAACATGTCATATGAAGCCGGGGCAACAGATGATCTAGCGGAGTCAGCGGAAATGGGGTAAACGTTGGAGGGGCTAGTTCACTGTTTTGGAGCATCTTGAAGATATCGACGAGGCGCAGGATGTCGAAAGATTGGGCTCAGAGAACTAGGAGAGTCGGATAATCATGAGAATGCACGGATTGCACCTTCCATGGATTTTATACCAAACCAATGCTCGAAACGTCATACTTCATTCACGAGGGGAGACAGCCCTTGCTTCCCTGTCACTCGGACAATAATTGTCCGATTCTTAATGTGGCACTCCTGACGCGACACTGCAGCCGAAACAAGATTCCTGCATTGACATGCAGCTGGAATGCTGTCTATTGTACAGAAATTTTATAGACTTGTGACTGGTGACGCTTATATTTCGACATCCTTGGCACATGCACCTCGGACGAGAATATCGCCGGATTGATATGGAGATTTTTTGAAGCAGGTTTGGGTACCTCCTTGAAGTCACACAGAGGCATCAGAAAAAGTATATAGTTTAACCGTAAGGAGAAGGAGAGATAAATAAGAGATAAAGGCCCCGACCAGTCAGGTCAGATGAGCCGAGAGTCGCATTTTTTAGACATGCAAATATTTTAAAAAGGCATCTCCAGCATCTGACCAAGGAGAATTTGTGCTCTAAACCAGTCTACAATCTGGCCTAAATAACGCATGATGTGAGTAGGCTGATTTGGTGTTGCTGCTGGCCAGCCGAGGCGGGCATATGTTTGTTGTGTTTGTCGTGGTCCGTGGGGCAGGCGGTCGCTTGTTTCTGCCGCTCGCTAAGAGGCCACGGCAGCATTTGAAAACCCTGCAAGAATAGCGGACTGATCTCGATAGGCCTTTCGTTCGAGGTATCGCCAACCGCCACTGCTAAGACAATGTAGTAGTGCTTGATAGGTCCTGTCTGTCTGATTCTCTACTTGTCACTTGGATGCTCTAGGGATGGATTCATCTGTGCTATGTGATACTGTTGCGTTACGCCAGATTTATACCACCTTGGGAGTAATCAAGTAGCATACCGTCAATAGAGCCATTGAGCACGAAGAAACATGTTGGCAGCTAATCTGATTGATCAAGGCATGTGCGAGAAGCCATGATATGATCGTGACCATTCTCTAGGATCTCGAGTGCTGGGGTTGCTCGAGTCTGCATTGCTGTCGCTGACGGGTAAGTTGCATAGGGTATTGTACTCCGAGTTCTTCAATGCATACATTCGGCATTGATGCTAACATCCTTTGCAGCGTCAACCCTATTCCTCGATGGACACACTTCGTGATTATACACTGGGCTTACCAGGGTATATATCTCACCTCGGCATACTGGAGATACGGCACAGTGGAGGCTGGATGGCTGTGCGCACCCCTGACTGACCCCCCGGTCGTCTTGTGCACATCAGGGGCCACAGGGGCCATAGCCAGGCTCTCTCGCCTGCAGTGGGCAGCCACTGCAAGCCGCCTGCGCCCAGGCTGCCGTCCTCAGACATCCACTTTGGGTGCCTGAAATTCGTTACGCCTGCTCCCTTATGCCCCCCCCGTAACTATCTCCTTTCGAAACCAGTCACCGCAGATGGCCGAACGGCCAGAGGCTCATGTTCTCACGGTGTCACGTCGCTAGAGCCGGGATCTTTGGAGACCACGCTCGTTCGAATCTCGCTCAGACCACTATCTGTTCGAATTTGAAGTCGGTGCACGAGCCTTCCTAGTGGTACGGCCCCCGATTCAACTCGGGTGGTAGACAGGGTGTTAGCCAGCACCGCTGTCGCAAACGTACGGAGGCGGCATGGTTCATAATGGGATCGTTAACTATACTGGTCTGGCCCTTTTTTTACATCTGCTATATAATTTTGCTACTTCGGCCATGCATGAAGCTATACAGACTGCGCATCAGCACTCTGCAGAGGGTGACTGAGGCGTTGCACTGCGATCAGTTCATGATTGCGAGCGGTTCGATGCCCGGGGGGTCTGATCGCCTGTTTGGGCCAGCCTGAAGCTATTCCGGACCCAATTCTCCTACAGAAGATGGTATACCAGATGCTGGGACGTGGATGAGCTAGGTAGTAGCCTCTTAATTGAAGCTATTCCAGTCCATCTCGTTCTCTCGTCCCATTGCCCTTCCGTAGTTTGGTGTCGAGCCCGCGGCGCGCAACTGCCCATTCCCCTACCATCACATCAACCCCTCCCATCCCGCTAGTCCCACCCCACCACTTCCCCTTCAAGATCTTCTGAAGCTATTCTCATTTCCAGCCAGCTAGCACCAAGTTGAAGTTATCCCCAATGTCAAACTACCACCCACCTCGTCCGTCGAGTTTCCATTCCCAGCCACAAAACAATTAGCCATGCTGCACATAATTAAAGCCACAATCTTTTACCAATTATTCTAGGAAGGCAACATAAAGTAATCAGCATCATCTAAATTACTTTTCCCTATCATAAAATGAATTGCATAAGAAAAGGACGGCTAGTACCTATGCTGTTCAGCGGACCAGGTCTTTCGTCCCTTCCTAGTCGCGGTCACGTGTACGCGCAAGGGACTTGCTTTACCTCATTCCTGTGCCCATGTCTCCCGCGACCGACCGACAGACTCAGCATATCTATCTTCAGGTCCCTCTCCCCCAAACGCGTCTTCAATTCTCGATTTTCGATCGAATTGATGTTTAGCTGATGTCTCGCGGTATGCAGTGCTTATCTTATCGGTTATCCCCACACCCCGCGTCATTGCGCCCGCATTCACGATAAGATAACCGTGTAAACCCTGCGTCACCACGGTTCGTCCCAGGGATCCATCCATCTGAAGTCGGATGATGACGACAAGGTTGCTGTGATGCGATCACTATCTCACAAAGGCACGGGCACTCGAAAAGGTGGATGCGACCGTGCGATGTCGCGTTTTTGACCTTGCAAAGGTAGTGGTCGGCTTGTTTGCTCGTCAACGATGCGTCTCGCGTTTCAATGGCCAGAACTTCGTGTGCTCGGCCATTCTTATCGGAAAGTCTCTTAATGGGTTGTGATCGTTTTTTCGACAGTGATATCTTCTGTCTTTAAGATAGGCCGTGCTCAGCGTCTGACCAGAAGGCAAATCCTGCGGTCGCATGGTTGCAGCTCGATGGGATTATCACGTTATCGTCACACCCACTCAATGCGAGTCCTTTCCGACTGCGGGCTCTCTATACCGGGATTCGCTTGTATGCACTTCGGAATTATCATGGGTGGATATTCTGCAGGTTTCTGAGACACATCGGTGTTGATTTTCTCTCGAGACGCGCACCTAGTCAGACGGCAACGATCCTCTGCAGCGTGGATAGGACTCGATGAACAGACAGACGATGTCTCGAGATTATCGCTTACCCTCCGCGGTAAGTTGTGGTGATATCAATTGTAGGGATAGATAGGCTAACATAAGCGACCGATGTCAAGTGGAGTCTAGACCAATTCTCGAAGCAGTATCTATAAGCTCACGCCGCGAACGAGATCAGAAGGTCGGCGCAGACATGCAACAGTCATCCAGCTCACGAAGCAATGAGAGAATACCCATGTTTGCCAATACCAGCTCTTTACAGGCGCAGTCCAATACTTAAGGCATTGGGTGGATGGATTTGAGAGGACAAATCGGCCACGCCCAAGGACTGTTAGGCTTTGCGCCTTGAATCTTGTTTATGCGACTATATAAGAGGAATTTAATTCGCGCCTGGATCGCGTATCCGCCCAATTCGTGGCTTTCTGGATTTTCTACAAGGTAGGGCTTACTCCGAATGATCGGACTTGAATACGAGATTCTGAGAATGAAGCTGTGTATGCATCGGAGATGTCAGCTAATCACTGTGAAAGGAGCGTCTGAGTGAGTGGTTGGAGAAATTGCAGCGTGTCTCAGAAGCCAAGTATCATCAGCGCGGAGAATGACTGTCAATGTTCAGATTCGGTTATATTGATCCTCGAATAGCAAGAGTGTTCGCTACTCGGGGCCCATCTCGTGAGAAGTATGTCATCTTTCAAACGGGTCAAGGGATGAGGTTTGGTTAGGTGGATTTGTTACTTAATTCTGCGCGGATTGACTGCACAGCGGGAGGATCGTCGAGCGGAAGAAGTCGTACCAGCCGCACTGCCAACTTCGTCCCTCCGTTGATGACTACTAAGCATCCTATAAGTTACCTCAATAAGCACTGCAGTTCCCACGGACAGCCATCGCCAGGTAAGCACTAACCATCGCTGACCAGTTACACATTTCTATCTCCATTTCTAATCAGATACTAACCGCAGATAAGAACTGGACACCTCTCCTCAACTCACCGCAATCCATAAAATGCATCCTTCTGGCTTCATACAGGATCTGTTCCGTCCTTCCCACATACAGCCTCGCTATACCAGAAAACAATCGATAACGAATCGCACGACTGATTTGCCTACGACTGGTACAAGTCAAATCCGAAAATCGAAAAATGTCGTTCACAATCGCCCCCTGCACCCCCGCAGACTCCCCACAGATTGCCCGCGCCATCATGCTCGCCCGCCTGACAGACCCCCACTGGGTCTTCCTCTGGACCGACCCCAACCCAGCCCGCATCATCGCCGACGTCACCGCCCGCTTCCCCTTCTCCTTAGCCACTGGTCGCGACCGCAAACGCCACCAGATGGTCTCCTATACCGATGATTCCGGAGAGAAGACGGTGGTCGGGTACGCGCGGTGGATTGTCCCGGATTCAGTATTAAGCGTGGAGGACAAGACAGGGACGTTCTGGCCCGAGGCGCAGGTCCAGGCCGTGAGCAATGAAGAGCTTCAAGTGTTCAAGAAGAACTTCGATGCAGCCAGCGACGGGGGTCAAGTGCCGGGAATGAAGAAGGACGGGATGATGGAATTCCGGAGTCGGCCGTTGGAGGAGGCTGACGAGGCGATTACGCGTGGGGAGGAGCTTCTGAGTAAGTTCTTTTCTTTCCTTTCTATTTTACGTCGCTATACTTTGCATATCATGCTTTGTAGCTTTTCAGGGGGTATGCCCCCTCCAATCTGCGGTATAGCTTGGCTTCCGAGGGGAAGGGGTAGATTCTCTGTCAATCACCCAGGAACATGCTACCTGCGCCATGATCTTATGGTGTATGCTCCGCATTACATTCATCAGCTAATGCAACCCGACCTTCCTAGCCCTGGACTACCTCTGCACCCACCCGGATTTCTGGCGCCGCGGCGTCGGAAGCATGCTCGTCGCCAGCGGGCTGCAAGTCGCCGACCGCCACGGCCTCCGCACGTATGTCATGTCCGAGCCCGCCGGGCTGAAGGTCTACCTGAAGCATGGGTTTAAGGTTGTCGAGACGGTCACCACGGATTATTCGCGATTCGGGGGCCAGGCGCCGCAGGTACTTTATTTTTTGGTGAGGGGGGTGAGGGGGGTTTAGTGCCAGTGGCTTATCTAGGTGATGTGGGGTGTTGTTGTGATAAGGGAGGGGGAGGGGGGTTGGATTTTGTGTTTGTGGAGTGGATTGGTGGTTTCAGATTCTGGACTGGTTGTTGGCATGTTGAGGACGCTGGGATTGGATGTACTTGGTGCTATAGATGGACGATGATAATGGTAATGATGTGTGGGACTTGTCAATTGTGCTATTTAGATCTATACTCGAAGATAAGTTATCGGTGCTTATGGAGTGGAAGAATACTCTGCGGAGTGTGTATTGGCAGCATTGGAGTTGCCACGATTTGTGCAGATTGTCTAGAATGAGGGTGGGGAACCATGTTTTTGAACAATTTAACCTAGCTAGTCTCAGTATACCTAAAGAAATGTATGCAATTCAAGGCACTGTCATATGTATAAGTCCATGTGCACAGCATCGAGAACGATCGCACCCGGAAAACCATCGGAGGACGATCGGCAGCCCATCAGTGCCGAAGCGGTGGCAATCCCGAGAAAAGTTTGTGCAGTGTGCAGCGTGCACAAATCCCGACCATCAGGGACACACACACGGCTGACATGACGTCAGGGCCTCCCGTCGAAGAAATTTCAGATCGTTCCACGGACAGAGGTGACGCAGAGCTTTCTAGAAGCTTAGCAGAATTAGATTGCACTGCAGTGCAGTGTAATGTGGTGTGGTGCCCTGATGGGGCCAACCACGAGTTCTCGGTCGGGTGGCTGCGCGACCGTCAGCAGCTTATCATTCCTTAACTCCGTGGAGTGGGGCGTCAGCGAGTTGCCGTTTCAGACTACCGTCCAGATTACTGGACTAGTGTCTAGAAACTGGAGGCAGGGCCACGTTTCCTTGGTTGATGACAGCATTTTCTCTGGTACTACTCCAGAGCACTGCGGGAAGCGGACGCTCAAGGTCCAATGACGGTGCTATCCCGAATATTGCCGGGCCCAACGGAATTTGCTCAGTTCGACTTTTTTGATGGGTGACGATGAGGCAAAACCAAAGGCACTTGCTGCTGACCGTCTGTAAGCAGCGGACGCCCGTCTCCAACGGACTTAGCACTGGATGACCTGAATCATGGGTGTGCCTCGGTCCAGCCATGCCCCTGGTGCCACGATGTGGCTCCCGCCTTATCCACATTGCCTGGAAGCCTGCAAGCCGGTTGACGGTCGTTCTCAGCAGATCTTCGGAGACAATTTGGCCCCACCACATGGCAAAACGACGCAGAGAGAATCAGCACCAATTTTCTGCTGAATTTCTAAGCAGTTCCCTGAGTTACCCCGACCTGGGTGGGAGGATGCAAATATAAATGCCAGCGAGGACCCGCGGGGAATCAAAAGTCCAGACAATCAGACAATCGTCATCTCACACATCTCATCACATCATTCGCAATGGCTTCCACCGATTACAAGTTTGAGGGCTGGATGGCTCTCGAGCCCAAGGCCGCCGAGGGCAACATGGTCTGGCAGGAGTTCGAGCCCAAGCCCTGGGAGGAGACCGATATCGACATCAAGATCACCCACTGCGGTATCTGCGGCTCTGACATGCACACCTTGAGAAGCGGCTGGGTATGTTCTCAGACTAGATCGAATGGGGTTTTCGTCTGCTAACCTGTTTAGGGTCCCACCAACTACCCTTGCTGTGTCGGTCACGAGATCGTCGGTGTTGCCGTCCGCGTTGGCTCCAAGGTCGAGGGCGGAATCAAGGTCGGAGACCGTGTCGGTGTTGGTGCTCAGAGCGAGTCCTGCATGGGCCGCAACGGCGACTGTGAGGCTTGTGCCTCTGGTCTCGAGCAGTACTGCCCCAAGTCCATGGTCGGCACGTACAACGGCGTGTACGCCAACGGCGGCAAGTCGTATGGTGGATATGCCACCTACAACCGCGTTCCTTCCCGGTTCGCTGTCAAGATCCCCGACGCCATCCCCTCCGCCGTCGCTGCTCCCATGCTTTGCGGTGGTATCACCACTTACTCCCCCCTGAAGCACTTCGGCTGCGGTCCCGGCAAGCGCGTCGGTATCATCGGTGTCGGTGGTCTCGGCCATTTCGGTATCATGTTCGCCAAGGCCCTCGGTGCTGACAAGGTCGTCGCTATCTCCCGCAAGGGCAACAAGAGAGAGGATGCTCTGAAGCTCGGAGCCGATGCCTACATCGCTACCGACGAGGACTCCGAGTGGGCCCAGAAGAACTCCCGCTCTCTCGACTTGATCATCTCCACCGTTTCTTCCTCCAAGGTATGTCTCTTCGCATCCATCTCGCGCACCACTGTCGAATAGATTGCTGACCTTCGTAGATGCCCATCACCGACTACGTCCAGCTGCTCGACCGCGACGGTGCTTTCGTTCAGCTCGGTGTCCCCGAGGATGGTTCCCTCTCTATCCCCGCCCCTGCTCTGATCTTCAAGCGCGTCAAGTTCAGCGGCTCCCTCATCGGCTCTCCTAGCGAGATCGGCGAGATGCTCCAGTTGGCCGCAGAGAAGAACGTCCGCACTTGGGTCGAGGAGCGTCCCATGAAGGATGCCAACACTGCCATCGTCGATATGGATGCTGGCAAGGCCAGATTCCGTTACGTTCTCTGCAACGAGCAGTAGATTGACGACTTCCGATGTTGTGTACATAGACCACCCATAGACTTAATGACTCGATGTGAATAGACATACCATTCATACACTGATTTCCTCGAAAGCGCGTACCGTAAACTGCACTCCGGTAATCGTGACGGTCTGCCCGTTTGTCCATTCCTGTGCGTCAGGAATGTCCTTCATCGATGGCAATTGCTGCACTTCCGCACCGAGATTGTACTTGGTGCACCATCCTTCAGTGGCGTCCCACTCTTCCCTGAGGGCACTCACCTCCCCTCCATCCTTGACAACGGTTGTATTCGAACCAGCCGATCGAGAATGTCGCTGGACCTGCCGGAGAGCGAGATACGTCCCCCAGACCCGACCAATGAACGTCCGAGCCACATCGCCCTCCTCGCCCTCTTCAAGATCAGAACCAGTCTGCGACGACTCTAAGACCCACGAAACTCCCGTCGCCGGGCCCTCAGGCCCCCGCCGGAACTCCAACTCCCGCCACACCTCCTCATACTCGCAAACAGGTTTGCCGGGTAGATCCGCCCGAGGCATTGACCCTTTCTCCAGGTCGTCCCCGTCCGGGAGCGTGGAGAATGTCCCACAGTCAACGTCATCGAAGGAGTTGCGGGAGTCGAGCTCGTGTGTGAATTGAACGCGGGCTGATAAGGTAGTCAGTCTCTTGCATTAAGGTGCATGACAGATAGAATGTATTGCATACTGGAATCATTTGAATCCACGACGCGTTGACCAGCAATGCCCCAGTCAATGGTTGTGGTGGCTTGGTCGATGCGGAGGTCGACGTACCACCCCGCTACGGACATGACGATTGTGTCGGTGTTTTCGAAGGCGGGGGCCGGGGGCCAGCGCAGGGAGATCCGCGTGGAGAGGCGGCTTTGAGAGGGGGGAGGGGGAGTAGTGGGTGACATTCTCGGAGAAGTGAAAGCTGATGAGATGGAAAGGTGGTAAAAGGTTCCGTCGAAATTCGGTCGAGGATTGCGTAGAGGGGTTGGTGAGGAAGAGAAGAGTACCTTGCTGGCGGATGATTTATCCCCGCTTGCTGCAGCTCTCCGATAAGCGGTGATGGTTAGGCCCTTTTTGGCTTAGTGGATTCTGTTATTGCCGTTAAGTGATATCGTACCCGTCCGAAGGCGACCGTCAGCATTACCTTACACGAACCTCCCTACGCGAACATAACTGAACATGTTAGACTGGTGATACCAGTTATTGACTGAGTTCTTCATTATACATCTCTGAGAGCCATCGAAGAAAGCATGCACACGTCGTACAACCGGGCCGGGGACCTGCAGCGCGCACAACACGACTCGCTGACTATATAAGCTATCCGCGCGACGATAACAAGGAGATGGCGACCACGGATCGCTAGCAACGCGCTTCATGTGATATCATTGGAGCGGGGTCTACACATTTCTATAATCTTTGAGAGAACAGCTTATTTTTCTTCTCCTTCTCAGTGAAGCTGCGAGAGTGACCGAGTACTTGCTGGACGGCCGGCGATTCAGTGTAAGCATTCATTTCTGGGAGCACTTTGTCTTCTTATTGACCCGAGACATGCCAGTAACAATCTGAAAGAATTCACCGTGACTGTTATCGAATTGCCATCGGCAGCATTTCACGATGAATGATTCCATCCGGGTGTACAATGGGTGCGAGGGTGGTACCGAGTCAGGCAGATCAGGGACGACTGCAACAGTGTTTCAGCATCACGGGCTGTAGCCATCAGAAACTATCTGTACAGGCTATACAACACATGTTGAAGTGACCGTGATTCCCTTGTGGCTTCAAACTAAGGTAGTCGCCGCCCACTAAGGTTTGTTCTTCTCTTCACACCGCGAGAAGTCTGCCTCCGGAAAGTCACGTTTGCAATTGCTATCCTCACCGAGCTAATTTGATCAGTTGGTCTAGAGACAGAATACGTTCAGAAGGAAAAACAACGAATAGGGAAAGCCAAAACAAATCAAAACAGCAACAATCACTAGACCCGAACATGGACTTCTATGATGATCACGGAAAACCATTGTTTTCAAAGGCTACCGATAAACATGATCAAGATGAATTGGCTGATCGATCAAACTCCTCGTGCCGCTGTCCGCCAATAGCTATTGTGGGTATGGCTTTGCGGCTTCCTGGAGGTGTGAGGACTACCGATGAATTCTGGGATATGCTCATTAACAAAAAGACTGGCCATTGTGAAATCCCTGGGAACAGATTCTCGGTTGATGCCTTCTACAGCGAGACACGAACTCATTCTGTTAGAACCAAACATGGATACTTCCTCGAAGAAGATCCTGCCGATTTTGATCCTGCTTTCTTCTCTGTCCCACTGCGCGAAGCTTCTCGAATGGACCCTCAGCAGCGAAAACTACTGGAAGTTGTGTGGGAGTGTTTGGAGAGCGCAGGAGAGACAAGTTGGCGAGGCAAAAATATCGGCTGCTACGTCGGGGTCTTTGGTGGTGACTGGCTTAGTCTAGCAGACAGAGACCCATTGGCAACTGATCGATACTATGCAATTGAAACAGGAGATTTCGCCTTGTCAAACAGAATATCCTACGAGTACGACTTTTGTGGACCGAGGTATGACCCCACAGCTAATGCAATAAATGGATTCTAGGGACACCTCTCTTCTTTTATGTTTTGATTCATGTCCTGTTGTTCGCCGTAAATCTGGGGCTAATGAGAATGAACATCAGCATGACACTAGAAACAGGCTGTTCATCATCGATGACAGCATTACATGAGGCATGTCAAGCGCTTTGTTTGGGACACTGCTCGTCGGCTATTGTCGCCGGAACAAATTTGATCCTGTCGCCAACCATGATGACATCGATGTCGGAGAACCTGGTCATTTCACCGAGCGGAATGTGTCGCAGCTTCGATAATGCGGCTGATGGATACGGAAGGGGAGAGGCCGTAAACGCTATCTACATCAAAGTCTTGAGCGATGCTGTTAAAAACAATGATCCGATTCGAGCTGTGATTCGAGCGACAGCTACGAACAGTGACGGCAAAACACCGAATATCACTACTCCCGGTGTACATTCTCAACGAAGCCTTATAGAGACAACATACAGAAGAGCAGGTATTGCTAAGTTGTCAGACACTGGTTACTTCGAATGCCATGGCACAGGAACGCAGGTAGGCGATTCAGCCGAAGTCTCGGTTATCGCTCAATTATTTGGAAAGAACGGGATTAAAATAGGCTCGGTAAGTCCACTGACCTTCAATGAGAGGATAGAAAACCGATGCGACAAATTATAGGTCAAACCCAACGTGGGCCACTCAGAAGGGGCGTCCGGCATTACAAGCATTATCAAAAGTGTGCTGTCCTTGGAGAAAAGGGTTATCCCTCCAACCATTTGTCGGAGTCCAAATCGCGATATACCCTTCGAAGAAGGAAAGCTTCGTTTGCCCTCAGAACCAACGCCCTGGCCCCAGAGCTGCCAGGAAAGAGTTAGTGTCAACTGTTTCGGGATTGGGGGATCAAATGTTCACGCAATAATTGACTCCTACTCCTCAACTGTCAAAGCTCGTGCCGACGAAACCACGCGAAGGGAGAATAGAGCCGAACTTTTGGTGTTGTCAGCAAGCAACGAAGACAGCTTGCAGGCTCGCATAGCCAGTTTCACAGAGTTCGCAAACACAAATACTGCCACACTTTCAGATCTTGCTTATACCCTTCGAGACAGACGTGTACATTTGCCCAACCGGGCTTTTGTTATAGCACGTCCCAACGACTTTATCGATGCCTCTGCGTTTCAGATTTCTGAAGCGAAAGATCGCCTCACCATTCTTGTCTTTTCTGGACAAGGTGCTCAATGGCCTGGGATGGGAAAGGCTTTGATGAGTCGATTTATAGATTTTCGGACTTCGATCGATGAGATGGACGGCATACTGCAGAGTCTGCCTGACAGGCCCGATTGGTCTTTAGCGGATGAGATAACTAACGAGCCTAACTCTCGTATTCACGAAGCACAGATATCGCAACCGTTATGCACTGCCTTCCAAATTGGACTATACCACGTGCTAGCGAACCTTGGCTTGAAAGCGTTATACGTGGTAGGGCATTCTAGCGGAGAAATAGCTGCGGCGTATGTGGCAGGAGCAATCACAATGAGATGCGCCATTATATTGGCATATTACCGCGGGGTAGCTGCAAAGCTTGAGCAAGGCCGCGGGTCAATGTTTGCTGTCAGTCTCAGCTCGCAAGAGATAGGCCCTTACCTGAGAGAAGGTGTTGTCATTGCTTGCATCAATAGCCCGAAGAGTGTAACCCTTTCTGGCGACAAGCACGAACTGGAAAGGACCATTCAGTATATCAGGCAGCAAAACCCCGAGACACTCTGTAAGATGCTGAAAATAGATGTGGCCTATCACTCCCGTGAGTATATCCCCTAAAGCGTATTATCAGGTCCTGACCCAAATACAGATCACATGATGCGCTGCGGCCGCTTTTATGAATCTTTGATAGCACCACACATAGAGCACCCGTCGACGCATATGCTTCCTCTCGCGTCAAGCGTGACTTGCTCTATTATCGAAGACCCCGTCGAGCTGGGATCTTCCTACTGGCGTCGGAACTTGGAATCCCCGGTGGTATTTCAAGGTGCCATCGAAGCAATTTTGAGAAAAGAGCCACGATCGCAAGTGACTTTGGAAGTTGGTCCTCACTCTGTGTTGTCAGCCCCATTGAAGCAGATATGGAGAGAGCAAGCGTCCGGTCAGAACCACGTTTATGTCCCAACTATCCTGCGCGGCGGTAAGGACGCAGAGATTCAACTCCTAGAGACTACCGGCCTTCTTCATTGCAACGGCGTCCCCATAAACTTCGAACTAGCAGGTTCCGAAGCAAATGGAAAGGTAGTCACAGGGTTGCCACTGTATCCTTGGGCACGGGGGAAAGCTCAATGGCAAGAGAGTCGTGTGGTACGCGACTGGAGGTTCAATGGGGCCATGCATCATGAGCTCCTGGGTTCTCGCGTGTCAGAGATGTCCGAGCTTGAGCCGACATGGAGAAACTTACTCTCTCTTTACAGTGTTCCTTGGATATGTGATCATGTTCTGCAAGGAAGTGTGGTTTTTCCGGCCGCAGGCTATATTGCCATGGCAGGAGAAGCGATACAGCAACTGTTTCCCGCAACAGAAGGTTTCGCGATCAGGAACCTCATTCTCAAGGCTCCCTGGGTATTGGAAGGGAGTACAATCTTTGAGGTTATTACCAGCTTCAAACCCACCAAGTATTCCGACATGGAAGACTCAGAGTGGTATTCCATGTCCGTTATGGTCCACGACGGCATTTCATGGACTAAACACTGCCAAGGGCAGGTGAGACCGGAGTCAGCTGCGCGTCAACATGCCGAGCGACCACAGACTCATCCTCGTTTTGTCGAATTCGGAAGCTGGTATGATGCTCTGAACAAAAGAGGGCTCAACTATGGCTCGCGGTTTCGAGGTCTCAGGGAAATATCAGCAGATCCACTTGCGCTCACTGCGGTAGCATCAATCGTGGATGATGCATCTGAACACGATAGCAGATATTTTGTTCACCCTACCTCCATAGACCACTGTCTACAACTACTGAGCGTCGCCCAGTCCAATGGGCTCATGCGTCGCTTGCCTGGACTGGCAATTCCAGCCTCTATAGGGGAGATCTACGTCACCCATGGGGATAAGCATATGAATGTTCATGCTGCAATCAACCCTAGTGTTTTTGAAAAGCGACTAGGGAACGTAAATATGTGTGCAGACAGCCATGTGAGACTGTCAATGCAAAAAGTCTTCTTGTTCACCTTGGATGATGATGGTCTCTACAACGATCCTGTTGTTCCATTAGTCGCGCGGATGGAGTGGTCGAAAGATATAGACTTCCTACTTTCTGATCAGTTGCTAATTGAGAGAGCTCCAATGTACTCTGGTGAGACAGCAGCGAGAGTGGTACGGGCGATGGGCAAAATCGCCATTCTTTATATCCTAAATGCCGCAGACATTGTGGGGTCCATCACCCCGAGTTCTGGCCATATGAAGAAATGGAAAGATCATATCACAGGCCAGGCTCGCAACGTTGCGGAAGGTAAAGAAACTATCTTCGCAGGGTCCCAGGAATGGGTGTTTATGGGAGCCGACAAGAGAAAAGACCTCATTCGTGAGACCTTGGAGGATATCAAGCCCATACCACAAGAATGGACCGTCCTCCCCACAATGCTTCAGCGGGTCTATGAGAACTGTGAGCAGTTTTTGCTCGGTATAGTCTCTCCACTAGATGTCTTCCTCGAGGACAACATACTCGAAAGGTATTATGCTGTCACCCCGCCACAACAGACGAAAGACTTCCTGTACTTGTTGGGCAAAACAAACCCTGGACTTCGTATCCTCGAAGTTGGGGCGGGGACTGGATGTGCCACTTCTGAAGCACTGAAATATCTCCAGACGCCGGATGGTGTTCGACTCTACTCGTCATACACGTTTACTGACATAACACCTGGCTTTTTTGCCACTGCCGCGGACAAGTTCAAGGACTATAGTGGCCTCGATTTCAGAACTCTCGATATCACCAAACCACCCGCCGAGCAAGGATTTGAGCTACATAGCTTTGACCTGGTCATCGCATCTAACGTCTGTTTCTGTCCACTCCGTTACCTCCACATGTACATCTCATTGCTCGGTTCTCACAACACAACGTCTGAACAGGCTTTGCATGTTACTCCGATACTTCAGACCTCGTTGAAAAGTGTGCACGACCTCCTACGTCCAAATGGGCGTTTGTTGCTACATGAGCTTGACCCCAGTAAGTGATTGTGTTTGCCCATTGATACCCTTCAATAGTGCTGACTGTCCCATTAGCAATCTGGATCATAGACTTTTTGATGGTATGTACTTGAGATTGTTAAGCTCAAATGCGTGCCTCTGTGGAGCATCTCGGCTAATGATTTATTACCCGATCAGGGAGTATTCCCTGGATGGTGGCTCGGAGAAGAGGCAGATAGGCAACAGAGACCGTACGTATCACCTGGGAGATGGGATATAGAGCTCAAGCAAGCAGGTTTTACCGGGAGTGAGGCTGCAGTCTACGACAATCAACGCCCATTCCACACGAACTTTACCATGCTATCGAGACCTTTAGAGTGCAAAACGATACAACGGGGCTCGGTGCATCTTCTGCGCAGTGGGCCTGAGGGCATCTGGGCACAGGGCCTGCGTAGATGTCTTGTGCAGAATGGCTACTGTGTGACCTCTGGTGGCATGGGAGAAGAGTATCCTAGTGGCGCTCTTGTTGTTTCTCTCCTCGATCATGACGAGCCTTTCTTATACAACATCACAGATGAAGCCTTTGGGTTACTGCGAGACGTTGTCCAGAACATTGGTGGAGGTGCGATACTCTGGCTTACGCATCCATCCCATTTGAGCTGCCCGGACCCTCGTTTCGGTCTCGTCCATGGCTTTGCACGCACCATGCAACAGGAGAACGATATATCTTTCACGGTGTTTGAGATTGATTGTTTTAACTTCAAAGCATACTCATATATTTTGCGCTTGATCGAGAAAATGGGGCAGGCAAAACAACTCTCTTGCACAAGCATCGACCTGGAGTATGCTCTGCATCAAGGCGACGTGTATGTCAGTCGTTGTCATTGGCCTGTGAAGGGCACCTCGATATCCCCAATGGAGGAAAAGAATAACATGTGCAAGAAGCTCGATATCTCTGCATATGGCCTCTTGGATACCCTGCATTGGTGTGATACGATCAACCCCTCGCTAGGAGACGATGAAGTTGAAATTGACGTCCTTTACGTTGGATTGAATTTTAGGGTACAAGGATTCTTACCAACCTGCTACTTTGGTACTTGCTCACAGTTGTACAGGATCTGATGGTTGCCATGGGGCTGGTTGGTGACCGGTGTAGTTTAGGATTCGAAGCGGTTGGTGTCGTCCACCAGGTTGGGCCGCAAGTGTATGGGTTTCAGCCCGGAGACAGAATATGCTTTACTCAGAACGGGCTCTTTGCGACAAGAGCTGTGGCCAATCAAAGTTACTGCGTGAAATTACCGGATGGACTGGCCATGGAAGATGCATCCACTATGCTGTCGGTTTACGCCACTGCACTATACTCTTTCCTCCGCGTTGGGGCGCTTCAGGCTGGCCAGGTGCGTTGATTATGCTTAAACATTATATGAAGATCATCACACTGAGGAATGCAGAGCGTTCTAATTCATTCGGCATGCGGAGGTGTCGGACAAGCTGCTATTCATGTTTGTCGAGCTTTGGAGGCAAAGGTGAGAATGCGTACCTCATCATGGGCGATGCTACTAACATGACGTCTAGATCTATGCCACGGTCGGAAACGAAGAAAAGGTGCAGTATCTGGTTGATCATTTCGGTTTTAGCCGATCAAACATCTTCCACTCAAGAGACGAATCATTTGTGGACGACCTGATGCGCGAGACGAACGGGCGCGGCGTTGACATCGTCCTCAACTCGTTGGCAGGAAAACTCCTTCATGCCTCATGGAGATGTGTTGCTCCATTCGGCAAGATGATCGAACTCGGAAAACGAGACTTTCTGACAAACGGCATTCTTGATATGGCGCCATTCCTCGCAAATCGTGCTTTTGTGGGCGTAGATATGCTAGAGCTTGGTCAACAAGATCTAAACACGTGGGAATGGTGGGTGGCAGTCGATTGATCTCTGGCTATGTCACGTTTGTTATGCTGATGAAGTTACAGGTTGACCCAGCAATTCAAGGCTTGGTATGAAGAGGGTAAGATCAAACCCATTCATCCCATCAGAATTTTCGAGGCTGCAGAAGTCTCGAGTGCATTTCGGTATATACAGAAGGGTTCCCATATCGGCAAGATCTTGGTCAAGATGCCCGGTTCGCCGGATGAGCTCCCATCTGCACCCGCTCCCTCGGCCTGTAGCTTCTCTCCCACTGCATCTTATCTATTGGTTGGTGGGCTTGGCGGGCTCGGGCGCTCTGTGTCAAATTGGATGGTTGAGCGAGGTGCTCGCGAGATTGTTTATCTCTCTCCCTCCGCTGGCCAGTCAGAGAGCAATCGCCTCTTCGGTGAAGAACTCAGACTCCAGGGCTGTGAGGCTATATTCGTCTCCGGAGACGTGGCGGTGCTTGAAGACGTACAGAAGGCGATTACGAGATGCACGAAGCCTTTGGCAGGAGTCATGCTCTTGTCTATGGTCCTACGAGTAAGTGGGCACACCCAAGCTTGGATCATAAACATCCTGATTGACTCTGCAGGATCAAACCTATTCCAAGATGAGCTACGAGGACTGGACCACATGCCTAGACCCCAAGGTGCAAGGGGCCTGGAACCTACACCATGCTGTCCAGGATCAAGGTCTCGACTTTTTCGTCGTGTTCAGCTCTATATCCGCGGTCAATGGCTTCACAGGCCAGGCCAATTATGCCGCCGCCAACTCATTCTTGTCGGCTTTCACTAAATATCGTCGACAGCTTGGTCTAGCGTCGTCCATTCTCGATCTCGGCCCGGTCGAAGACGTGGGTACGCTCAGAACCAACGCGAAATATCTCCACACTCTGCGCCGCAACGGCATCCGCATGCTGAACGAGCAGGAAGTCCTCCTAGGCCTCGAAGTCGCGATCTGGCAATCCGTCAGCCACGATGACGATCTTACCAGTCAGAATTTGATTTCCAATCCGGCCATCGTCGGCCTCGGCAGCACCAAGCCCTTCACCGACTCCACGATCCGGACAACCTGGCGCCGAGAAGACCCCCGTTTCGCGCTGTACGCGAACATGGACCTGAAGGGGTCGCGGCATGGGGTCGAGAACAACGAGCTGCGGACAATCGCGGACGCGATCCAACGCGATCCGTCGTTGGCCGATGACCCGCGGACGAGAAAAATGATCATTCTCGAGATGGGCAGGATGATCCTTCCGCAGATCGCGTCGGACGACGAGGCCGCGCAGACGCAGTGCGAAAGTATCAAGATCGATTCCCTTATGGCTATCGAAATCAAGGCGTGGGCGCGACGGGTGCTGACCTTGGATATTAGTCTGGTGGATATCGGCAAGGCGGCCACCGTGGGCGGGCTGGCGGTTCTGTGTCTTGAGCACCTTAAGGCTCGGTATGAGAAGGGGTAGGTAGGCCGGGGATCGATATAGTGACTACTTATTTGTGGTGGCTGATTGGGGCTATGTTTGGACTTTCGTGTAGTGTTTTTGTTTGTTTGAGGGTGAACTACCAGATTGAATAACGTCTCTTTTTTGTGTGTGTTGTGTGCTCTGGTTATTTACTTTGTATCTTCGACAACATTACTGGTCAGGTAGTGGATCTGTGTAAGAAGCGAAGGTACGAGTACAAAAGCATAGACGGTATAAAAAGCCATCTTAGATCGAGTACCTCGTCTACAATGTGCATCCGGTCTTCAAGACTACGCTTCCCATATGGTGCTCTTCCTCGCTTTCTTGCTAGACGAAACAAAAAGAAAATGGCATCGACATATTCAATCATCGAATCTAAAATTCCTTCAATGGATGAGCAGGTTAAAATAAAATAAAGCCAAGGTTTCCCCAAACCCTGTGCACTCCTCAAAGCCTCCAGAACCGGCAGATGAGATACAAGACATTCAACCTTGTGAAGATTACTTGCGAAACAGAAGAATAGCATTCGATCTTAAGAAAAGCTAGATACAGCTGGTAGTCCTCAGCCTCACTGGGCATTGTAATGCCCGTGGCGCTGTAAAAAATGCAGAAACCATGCTAGCTGCGTTGAATGTTAAAGCGATTCGAGCGATCACAGGAGCGGATAAAGATCAGAATAAGAAATAGTAAGCGAGGGTGAAGTGGTTTCAGCTCATCCCTTGAACCCCTTGAAGGGAACGTTTTCCTTCTTTGGGGACGATGGGGCAGGATGTAAGAGACGATTGAGGTCGAGAGGTGGACGAGGGTTCTCGGCGATGAGACAATATCCTTCCACTTGATGCAACTTAGAATACACCGAGAAAGCAGACCGCATAATGAGTGGTGCGGGTATGTATCAAGCAACGCACTTGGATGACATTCTCCTTCAGCGGTAGTAATTTCCTCCAGGATCTACAGCCGGCATAATTGTGCTAATAGGAGCGCAGTCTGAATGCAATTTTGCAGACTCGGTATGAGGTGGGCAAGGTCTCGCCTATTTAACCTCGCATCGTCTTTGACGAGAGTCAAGCAGCAGACGTCTTTCGTTTCCTTCAGAAGGGAAACCTTTATCGGCAGGATTCTCCTTGGGATTCCTGCAGATAAGGCTGAGCTGCATACTGGGCTTTAGAACCACTCGGTCGATGTTGCGAAAACTGCGTCGTGACTCATGGTAGGAGAGCTGGGGGACTTGGGTCTTATTGTGTCGACCTGGATGGTGGAGCAAGGGGCACGGAGTCTCGATTCTCTTTCTCCTTCGGCGCAGTCATCAAGTAATCAAGCATTTATCGCAAAGCTCCAGGCTATGGGCTGCGTCGGGATATGCGGTCAAGTAGAATTCTGAAGTCTGGTGGTATCACAATGGCCATGCGAAGTTGCCTGGTGCCCTTGAAGGGCGTAGTCCAGATGGCGGGGAGTCTACGGTTCTGCGCTTTTGCAAGGATGTCATTCGAGAAATGGCAGGCTGCGATGGCACCGAAAGTCAACAGCACTTGGGTTCGACACCAAGTGATAACAAAGGAGAACCTTGACCTCTATATGGCCGTCGGGTGCACCGTAAAGATCTGTGGAATTGCTGGGCAAGCCGATTATCCAGCAGCTAACATGTTCTCTGACCGTCCACTCAATATGAAAGCTAGAAGATGCTTTTGTCTTCGGTCCTAGATCTCGACACTGTGGGTGATATCGGGCTCATCAATGAGATGCCTATCACCATGCAAGCCATGAGCTCAGCGAGAATCTGGTTATTGGACGAGGGGGCACGTACTTGAGATATTTCAGCAAACCGTCCTGGGATCGCACTCCCATTCCGGTTCAGCACCAACCTCCAATATTTGGGAAACGCGAACTGCTGCCCCCGTGATCGCTGAACTGGGGAACAGCAGGCCCATGGCGGACCCTAGCGTGCGGCCGATGTAATCTGTCGAAGCCATGTTCTCCATCCACCCACATTGAACATAAGAGTTCATATGAGTGATCATTTCGGTGATCGCCAAGGGAATGAGAAACTGAATGAGGCGGAACTTGGGTCTCGACGTCTCCTTGCCACAGATTTCCAAGAACAAGACTATTGGGGGCCTGATTGATCTGACCATCAAGCAACTTCAGGCGAAATTGGCGGGCGTTACTGATGCAAAAAGAGAATCCGTTCATTAGGATAGAAGCATTGGTGGGGTGAGAGAAGCTACATGGTTCATTCAGACTGACATGGCGGATTCTCGATGGGTTCTGGGATAATTGTCGAATTGATGGTGGGCCGCCCATTCATCGCTTTGCTTCTTTGCTTCCTTCCTTCCTCTTCCTCTTGGGTGTAGTTGTCTTGTTCTCTGAGTGAGAGCTTCACGGAAGTTCGGCGAAACTTGAAAGTAGCAGAAAAAAGAAACACAAAAAAGCAAGGCCCGAGCCGCGGATCGAACGCGGGACCTCTCGCAGATATGCTTGGGTTTGGAATCCCTAAGCGAGAATCATACCACTAGACCACCCGGGCTTGTCATGTGATCCGACAGGCCTTGAAACATTTATGACGGCAATGTCAGGAGAGCGGACAAGACTCACCATTCAATTTTCAGCTCTCTTTGCCGTGCTTTGCTGCAAATCGTGCGATTTGAATAAATATTGCTTGCATTCTTGAGTTGAAGTATCCTGTTCGAGTACTTTTACATCTCGTAATTGTATCAGAGCTGATATACATATTCGTGATCAATTGGGTTTGTGTCTTTGCCTGTATTTCCCAGCATCCGCCCATCTTTCAGCCACACAATATGTTTCCCACAACAGTGATGCACCTATCAGACCTCAATTAATCCAGCAGCATCTATCTATGTAATGTTCACCGCACTCTTGAACCAAAGCGACTCTAGACCTCCTCGTCTATATCAGAAGCAAGCTCGGTCATTTCATCATAGCCCGGAACCCACACTCCATCCCAACATCCAACCCCAGAAACTCCGCCGCCAGGCCCAAGTGATCCACGCCCCAGAACCCCTCCTTCTCCCCGGCAGGACTCGTGCACGCCAGCCAAGGCAATCCAAAAGCCCCCTCCTCAATCGCTCGATGCGTATTCGCCTCTAACAGGGTCTTGCCTTCAGTTTGTTTCTCCTGCGAAAGTCAGAATACATCCTATCTATTCCCCTAGCTTTGGGTCCTTCTAGGAGAAAATGGACTAGAGAACATACCCCATCCAGCAGCCCCTCCACCACATCGTCGCCCAACACCTCTTCGAGGACCTTTTTGTACCTCTCAGCGTCCGTAACAGACGCCGAGTCACCGTCCGCCCAGACGGAGGTATACAGTCGCTCCACTATCTCGACCACTTTCTCCGGATGGGACACAGCAACGAGTGCAAGGAGAGATTGGATATCTGTGGTCGGGAAGGGGAAACCCGTGGGCACGGCTTGGGTCATGGAAATGTTGAGACGACGGGACCAGGCGAGGCGGTGGCGGTTGATGTAGGTTAGTTTGTCTGGGTTGATTTTCATTGTTAGCTTGGTGTGGTTGCGGTGGGTGCGTGATGTTGGGCGTTGGTTGAGGCGGGAGATATATACTTTTGACCGCGATCGGTGGGGGGTTTCCGCAGGTGGTGAGGATGGTGCGCAATGAGACGGGGGTGTAAGTTATTTTGCAGGATTGGAAGATTGGGGACTTCTGGGTTGGGGCTCTGTCAGTGGATTGGGCGATGATGGATTCGAGAGTGGTGCTATACCTTCAGAACTTGGAATGCGATGTAGCTGAATGGGCTGACGAGGTCGAAGTAGAGGGTTATCTCGGGGGTGGGTGGGTGAGTGGCCATTGTGGTCGGGTGACTTGTTTGATAGAAGAAGTAGATGCTTGATGCTCTATTATGATTGTTTCGATCGTAAGAGGGCAATAAAGGTAGATTCTGAGTTTATATATATGATCGAAGTATACCATGTGGCTGCTGTGGCTGGAGTGAGCCTTGGAGCCTGGTCGGTGACTCAGGCACGCAACTCAACTGGTTGAGACGCGGCTTGTCGGCCCCAACCTAAACCTGGGATTCCCTACCGCTCTGGGAAACGCTGAGGCCGCCTCACCCATTCTGCCGCTCAACCGCGATTTTTGATTATTCTATCATTCCGACTGGTTGGCTCAACTGTTTGCGTGTGCTTTCGACTTGGCATTCTTGCCTTGGACTGTTTGCATTCGAGTATTCTTATCAGTTGCAGTGCTTCTGAATTCTCTGTAGCTCTATTGTACTATGTAAAAATCAATGTCTACGGTCACTGTGATGTTCAGCCTCAGGCACGAATGAGGCAGCGACCCGATCCGCTGCATAGGTCAATCCGGCTCCAGGGCGGGATATCCTGTACGTGCCGCTTGGGACATCTGTTCACAGGTACCAGCCAAGCTTCGATCTGCAGTCGCACATGAAACAGATCGTACCGTTGGCACCAAAGCTGACAGTCAAGCTTTTCTTGTTTCCTTAATATCAACTGGATATGTCACGCATGGTGGGTCGACGCATGTAGACTGAGGTGCTGCGCAAGTCAATGGTACTTGAAATACCTTGCGACTGGTGGCCTCTCGAGCCTGGAGCATGTAGATAGGGACTTTCTTTGCCGAACTTGCACGGGACTGGCATAAGTCTCATCATTGGGGAAAGTGTATTTCACTAGTGCGGGCATATGCAAGCTTGTCCTCTTCTCATCAGGTCTACGAGCAATGTGATTGATATCAGAGAGATCAAATTGGCTTCCTACGTACTTTCACTCAGTCTTCTAGAGTGTGCAATTGGCCCCATTATGCTACAACGTCCGAAGCTGTTCATGGACAGTGTCACTGTCATACATGGTTCGATGATTGTGGCGCCTCTTTGCGAAGCATCCATGGTACAATGAACTTCGATTGCATCTGCTGGCGCGATTTAGGAAATATATAGTCAATGCGCCGAGTCAGAGGAGCAGTCAGGAATGGATAATCATCGATGGGGTGTTATGCTGTTGCTGCTTTTTAGCTTCGATGCTCAGGCAAGATCATGGGCGTGGCATTGTGCATCACTGTTCCTCTAACTTACCCGAGATTAGCACGAAGAAGCAGTTATGTCTCGGAGGGGAAAGGGAAAGATGGCACCGGAGTGTTTGGCTGAGACTATATCTCCTGATATCGTCTGATTTATCCCTTGGAAGGTCTGAAGGGTTGGGGCGAAAGTGCCTGAGCAACAAAGGTGTAAGATAGACACATGTGGTGGGTCACGGGTCTACATGACTTCCCCTTCCGTCACTTCGGTCAACAACTTCAACCCCTTCATCTACTGCCGCCGAACTGAGAGCGCGATCCTCTTCAGGTCTCCACAGGCCCCCTTTTGCTCAGCTCGGCGAGCTTTCATTGAGCATAATACTGCTGTTGTCACCCCGCTAAGATCATACCCATCTGACGCGCCTATTCCCTTTAGCACCATAGGTTTCAACTACATGGCTTTTGACCCCCCAGACGAGCGTACTTCTCCTATCTTGATGGCTGTATCCCAACCTCAGGGATAGAGTTCTCTACTCATATACATATCTCTTATTGGGCTATTTGCAAGTGCGACTCTGCAGGTGAACACGTGCCGGGTCTATGGATATGTCCACGTCAGCTTATAAAACTCCGCAGATTGACCTGGCTTGGCAGCAAGCAAGTATTTTTCCTTGCAAACTGACTAAATCTGATCAATAAGTGACTAAAGCCTGGAGTTGAGTGTAGGTAAATGCTCGGGCCCAGTCATCAATCGACATTCATCATCCGTCGTATTCGCTCTCTCGGATATACGTCAGCTCATATTAATCTCCGCACATATTATCAGGGCATCGGAACATTGGCGCCGAAAATGGCCATGCCATCCATGCAATATCGCACAAATGAGGATCAGGAGATGCAACGGAGGATAGCTGCTCGAAATTATTGCGGTCCCATCCGAACGACCCATAGGTGCAATATGCGTGATATGAAATGCAGAATCCTTTCCGGAACTCGGTCTCAATATGCCGACGATGCCAAGAAACGTGGAAAATCGCGACTGATACAGGATTGGTTCAAGCGAGAGGGGTAGCCTGGGGAGGCGCGTCAACGCCTGATGCTTGACCAGAACTCAAATCTTCATCCCCCAATGAATCAAACTCTCTGCCGGTGCTGCCGTAAAAATACTCGTGGAAAAAGTGTCCAAGGTGTGCCATGTTGCGGAAGTGGTGTTCTGCAGCCACGGCCCATGCGCAGCTTGCACGAGAGTTCCGGTGCTTGATTCCGAAATCCCGCCAATCAGGAAATTCAAGAACTTCCTTTTTGTTTCAGGGGGGGTGCGAACATGGACAGGGGCAGATTCGGCGCTTTGACACGGACATTGTCCGAATTTGCCATGTGCAACAGCATTGGATCTTGGGAGCACTGGATTAATTCAGTGTGATATCGATCACTCTGGGCATGCGTTCACAAAGGAGGTCGAGTTATGAACCTGTTTCTGTTCCAAACAAGACCCTGTTACACTGTTGAAGCCACCCCTGGATGCCCCCACAAGCCGACCGTCGTGGATCGGCGTTTGTGAGCAGCCCTAAAGCTCTCCTGTTTCGGATCTGAAGTGGGTCGGCCCTCCAATTCACCACACCTTGTATTGACCCATCGACTATCCATGCCCGCGTCGTGGTTCTCATTAAGCTTAATCATTGGAGGTCAAACGTTAATATTAAGCAAAGACAGGGATTGCTATGATTGCACCAATTTAAATGAGGCACCCACCGGGAACGGAGAAGACTGGGCGGTCATAGGATCCACTAGCCTTGAGAAGCATTAGAAGCTTCCTCGAACGCCTCCACCGGACTCTAGCCGCCGGTCGACTTGCCTGAATCTTCCTAGTGATTTCAGATATAGTTATCTTTACTCGACTGGGGTCTGCAGACATCCCGCTGCAAACCCCACCCCAGTCTCCTGACGGATATGAGACAAATACCGACCCAAGAGGGAAATGGCGCACTCAGACAAGCAAGCAGGCTGCTGAACGCAACGTATAAAAGGTCTTTCGTCTCTCTGCATTCAACCTTCCCTCGCCGATCCAGTCGATCATACACTCATATCAATCGCAAAAATGGTTAAATCAGTCTTGGCTTCCGCTCTCTTCGCCGTGTCCGCACTGGCTGCCAGCCGTACCACGGCTCCCTCCGGCGCGATCGTCGTCGCCAAGTCTGGTGGTGACTATACCACTGTGAGGATGTCCGCATGAGTTATGCACAAGGCACGATACTGATATACCCACAGATTGGTGATGCCATTGATGCTCTGAGCACCAGCACCACCGACACCCAAACCATTTTCATCGAGGAGGGTACCTACGATGAGCAGGTCTACCTGCCTGCTATGACCGGCAAGGTCATCATCTACGGTCAAACCGAGAAGTACGTTGGGTAACTGCCTCTGATTAGCATCGTGCTGACAATTGTTTAGCACCGACTCCTACGCCGACAACCTGGTCACCATCACCCACGCCATCAGCTATGAGGATGCTGGTGAGAGCGATGATCTGACTGGTAAGCCTCACTGGATGAGACTGATAATCGGTGACTAACAAGAACAGCTACCTTCCGCAACAAGGCTGTCGGCTCTCAGGTCTACAACCTCAACATTGCCAACACCTGTGGTCAGGCTTGCCACCAGGCTTTGGCCTTGTCCGCCTGGGCTGACCAGCAGGGTTACTACGGCTGCAACTTCACTGGTTACCAGGATACCCTCCTCGCTCAGACCGGTAACCAGCTCTACATCAACTCCTACATTGAGGGTGCTGTGTAAGTGATTGCCGGTCCTTGGACGAAGCCAACACTAACCCGGCTAGCGACTTTATCTTTGGCCAGCACGCTCGTGCTTGGTTCCAGAACGTCGACATCCGTGTCGTTGAGGGTCCTACCTCTGCCTCCATCACCGCCAACGGCCGCTCCTCCGAGACTGACACCTCCTACTACGTGATCAACAAGTCGACCGTTGCTGCTAAGGAGGGCGACGACGTTGCCGAAGGCACCTACTACCTTGGTATGATTACTTGCCTATCTTGCGCTTCGCACTTTAGAGACAATACTAACATGGGTACAGGCCGCCCCTGGTCCGAGTACGCCCGTGTCGTCTTCCAGCAGACCAGCATGACCAACGTCATCAACTCCCTCGGCTGGACTGAGTGGTCCACCTCCACCCCTAACACCGAATACGTCACCTTCGGCGAGTACGCCAACACCGGCGCCGGCTCCGAGGGCACCCGCGCCAGCTTCGCCGAGAAGCTGGATGCCAAGCTCACCATCACGGATATCCTGGGCTCTGACTACACCAGCTGGGTCGATACCTCCTACTTCTAAGCTGGACGCATGAGCAGTTGTTGAGGATGCGTGAGATGGCTGTCAACCAACAGCAGCGCTGACCGTATGCGGTGCATATACCTTTCTCTTCGTCAAATAGTTTCCCTTTGATAAACCAATTTAATTGGCATGCACAGCCCAAGCTTGACACAATTTTGACTCAACCCGTATCGTAAACATACCATACATGCGATCTCATGCACATGGCCGCATGGTTGATGGCGCCTACACGATACCAGACAAACCTAGGTCGAGCAACTCCATAAGCGGTATCGTCTCCCCAATCACCCCGTATAGCTCCCACAGTCTCCTCATCGCCTCAATGCTAACTTGGGTCCCAGATCCCTCATTCCCAGTACGAGCCGCCAGGTATATGCCCATCCCCGAGCTATCAACGCTGTAGCACGCTTCCTCAAAGCTGGATGCGGGGAATTCGTCCCCATCCGCCGCTAGTCGTTCATCCTCGACCCTGATGAAGTACCCGGCCCCGTATCCGTGGCCGACGGTGATCTTGATTGGTCCTTGTTTGAATTCGTGATACATCTTTTGGGTCCTTTCTTTGCAATGTTTCGTTCTCTCTCTCTCTTCCTCTGCTTCTGGGTTAAACCGACGAAAGTATGTTGTTAAGGTGTTTTCGGTAAGAGATATCAACGTACGATTTAGAGATAGATGGTCAGCACCGATGTCTGGGATATGGTGGATTTTGTTTTCGCAGGAGAAGGGTAGATGCGAGATGTTGTATCGACTGTCAGCGAGCAAGGAAGCTCGTTTATAAGGAACTGAAAATTTCTTGAAGTCTGGTGATCGTGATTATGATGATGAGGATGATGTTCGTTGCTGTCATCCGGAACTACTTGGTTCGGTCCTTGACAAACGTCGTTTTTCGCCACCGCCATCGATATTACCGCCTTGATCGCTCCTATACCGCTTCCTCTTGAGGAATGATCTGAGGGTGTTTCAATCCTAGTGAGATGGGCCCAGTGCCCAACACCTTGGTGTATGCATGAGGGCTCAGTAGGCCTTGTTGGCCATGATTCTGCCAGGCAGTATTAATGTGCGGTTTCGCCACTTTTGTATCCACTGACGATCTCGTACACGACCCTCACTGAGTAGGTTGCGGGTGCTATTCGCAAGATTCATTGAGTCACCCGGTGTTCCTGCTCCGCCTGCTCGTTCCCCCATCATTCTTTCGTGTTTACATAGTACGCTCTAGGGACATTGATTCCGAGCCGGGGATGGTACAAGCACACTTCAAGGTCCCTGCTTGAACCTTCTCGAATGAGATCCCTGCTATTCGAACGTGAGGTGCAGAGTAAGTGCGGGTACGTTCACATGTCTCCATTAGATATATTGGCGTACTAGCACTGTTTCATGCTTCTGCGCTTCAGATGCCTTAAGTGCAATATAGTAGGCGCGGACTGCACTGCATCTCCAGGTCTTCTTGCTTGACTATGTCTTATTGTTCGAGATACCTCTGGATATCTAGTTGAGTGTGAAACGAGACCAGCAATGTTGACAATGTCTGCAGTCATGGCTGTAGTTCGTATGCCTCGGGGTACTTGCGGGTACCTCTGGCGGAATACACATCCCGCGCCAACTGGCGGTGCCGATTGCCAAGCACCCACCATACTTGATCAATGTCTTCTGCACAGCACAAATAACCAAGTACACCTAAGCCAAGCAACACCGTACTTACTCCTATGTAAGTATCGCAGCTACATAGCATAACCATCCCCATCCCAAACCATGCAACAAGCCCCCACCCGGCCGAAGGGGTTCAACGGTTCAACGGACGGTTCAACGGTTCAACCTGCACGGGTGTACAACCCGACCGGAAGAGTTCACCAGCCTCTCGCAGGCAGGTATCAATCTACATTCAATAATTGAACCCATGTGGCCAATTGAACCCACACAACCATTAAAATCAGATAGCACAATTTTGCCACAGGCCCAGATGCCCAGGTTCCGGCCGAGAGAGGAGGTGGCCTTGTATTGCCTGATTTTTGTGCTGGGGTTTGTTGAATCAGGGGAAATGAGAGTCTTTCGTCAGGGGGTGGACCCGCTTTGATGCCCGGCCACGAATCCCGAGACAATTCCGCCCACGATTGAATTTTTCAGCCAACGGGGGATGGGGACGCGATTCAGACGCATCTGTGATTGGGTGCCGTTCTTTGAATTGTGCTGAAGGAATTCTGACTAGGCTGGACTTGGATAAGTGTGGTTGTAGGTTCGAAGGTCCGGCGTTGTGGACGGTTTTTGACCGCTGCTTCGGCGCTGAGGGTCGGGTTGTCCGCGGAGAGGTTCAACCTTTGCCTTTGGGGACGGGAACTCCGTGGATTGGAGAGCAGGGGTTCATTCTCCTAATGAAGAGTAGATACACGTAACTTATCACAAGATACAGTAAATTGGTCGTGGTGGGCCATTTCAGACCTCAAACCTCACCGTAGAGATACCTCAGCATCCACTCTACCGCCTCCTTCAACTCCCCCGGTTCGTTGCAAGCTGCAAACACATATCGGTCCGGTCGGACAATCACATACCTCGCCTTGATGCTCTTTCCGATCAGGCACGGATCAGACGACAGGGGTGCAGGGCGCTGGCTACACAGTGGTGACCGGGAGAACTCTTCAACACTTGCAATCTGGAATACGTTCGGCATCCGAATCGCGTCCTTCGGGTTCATCTCTTCTACGAGGATCGGGACGTCGTGGCTATGGAATTCTCCCCGGGACCATTCTTCGATACCTTCCAGAGCGTCTCGTGCAGAAGCGACCTCATTACTTCTCTGTAGGTAAATGAACACGCGGAACAGGGATTTCGAGCCGGAACGGTAGATGGCGTCGTCGGTGAAAAGGACCTTGCCGGTGGGGGTCCGACAATAGACCTGGGGCAAGTAGACACCTCCGTTAAGTTCGGGTACGAATGGCATGCCTGCAGAATGTCGAAGCCGGAATGATGCCTTGTCGCGATGGCCATGTCGTAGTTGCTCTCGATAACCTGGCAAGAGCTGCAGGAGCCAAAGAGACCAGTCACGCAAGAGGATCTTCAGCAAGTTTCTCTCGCACACCAATTCGCCGTTGCGGACCGTCGTGGCTAAAGATATCTCGAGTTGCTGCTTGCGTTCAAGGCACCACGCGGTTAAGACCTTTTCGTGGTTGCGTTTGTAGGGTTGATATCGGCAGAACATTGCGAGGCGCCACGACAGGGAGATTGCATCACGAAAACCGGATACTATGCCTTGACCCCCAACTGGATTGAAGGTGTAAGTAAACAGAACCAGAGGCTCGGAATGGAGACCTTACAAGGCGGAAAGACATGCGCTGCGTCGCCACTCAGAACCACCCTATCCTTAGCCCATACGTTGCATGTACGAGACGAGAATTTGAAAGGGCGGCAACGAAGGACATCAATACAGTCTTCAGGGAACTGTACATCTTGGTCCAGTCTACAATCTCGTTAGAAGGCGCTTGTGAGCCAGGAAATCAACTAACCCGTATTTACTCCCTTTGTGCGTCAGGTAAGGAAGAACAATCCGCTTCATCGCATCCGGCTCAGCCATGCGATCTCCATCCTCATTGCGATAGACAAGGTACTCGAATCTCCAGAGCCTATCCTCGGGCAGGCCAAAACGACCACAAACCGCCGGTCTCTTGCGATTGCACAGAAAGCGGAACTCTGGCGGGAAGAATAAGTCGTATACGTGCTCTGGTTTGTAGCCTAGTTCCCATAAGGGAAAGCTGGGATGAGTTTCGGGTGTCGGGAGGGTCATCTTCCAGTTCAGCGCTACCCATGTCTCCTCGTAGAAAGCTCTATATTCGAAGGTGAGAATCTGCCTTCAGCTAGGAAGAGTCGAGCGACTGACTCGTGAAATTTTTCCATCATCACCCCACGTGGCTCCAGGTATTGTTTCCGTGTGTATCCCGTTTTGCCGTCGGCGCCGACCAAGTACCGGGCGCGCACCTTGTGGTCCTTCCCATCCACGTTGTGGTACGTGCAGTACACCCAGTCGTCGTCTTCTTTGATGTCGACAATCGCGGAACCGCATCGCAGGGAACAATACACGGGAGACATGGCGCTTCTCAGCTTACTCTCGAGCGTCGGCTGCTTTTGACCAATGTACCCGACATGCCCTGTTGTACCCGCGGTCTAGTTGTGGTGAGCGACCATCGAGCCTATCATCAAGAACAGATGACTGACCTCGTTGCAATTGATCTCGAGGATGGGTGTCTTGTATAGATCATTACCAGTGCCACTAACGAACCTGAATTCCCCCATACCTTTCGTACATTAGCGGCGCACGTCAATTGTCAGTGGCAGAGAATCACGCACTAGTTCCAATTTCCGTGTAGATCGAATTATACAAACCCAGTCCTTGAACCAAGCGAATACCATCATCATCCAATGCAATACCCCGAGGGTCGGTCGTGATCTCGGTCTCTTTTTCGACAACGACGTTGCGGATGCCCATGCGACCGAGATAGGCGGACAGCATCGCCCCCGTGGGGCCACAGCCACAGATGATCACTTCAGTGGTTTCCCAAGCTTGTCGATTCGACATTTTGAGATAGCCTGACTTGTTGCGACGCGAGAAAAGCTTAGAAGTTGAGCATTCGTGGAAGATGATAAAGAGGACCGGGGAGGACGTGTTGGCACTGCATGCCCGGCCTGCGGAATCCTGCGAGACAACTCATCGCGGGCCACGGAATTGCGGCTTGTCGTATGCGCAATAGCTGTCCTTAGTTCAGCCGCTAAGGTGTGTTTGTGAGAGACTCAGGCTCACTACTGGTCCATAAGAAAAAGTGTTGGGACTGTGAAGAAGAGAAGGCTAAGAGCTAGCGGACGAGAGCGGACGAGAGCGGAGAAGAGCGGAGAAGAGCGGGAGTGGAGAAGGAAGTGACCGGCGTGAGACAAGGGCCGAGATATCACTTGTTGTCTCCCTCTATGCCTGAAGCATACCCCTGCACATCGACCATTTTGCAGCTCGGCAGAAATTGTTGTTCTTCTATCTCTCTCCATAACTTGTATCGGGACTCAAGAGCACCAATGGTCTGTCTGAAGGCCACAATGAATTTTGTTTTCCAGGTGAGTGAGGCTGGACCATGTCTTTCGCACCTATGTGTTATCGAACTTGCCCGGGAGACGAGGAAAGCCTCCTCACAAAGTTGTGAAGCGAAGAAAATCAGTGCACTTGCTCATATTATACCAGCTTTAGAGGCTGCAGTCATCATGCAGCGCACTTCTTTAGCGACGATCCCTTGTATTTCGCTAATTTACCTTCGCCAACTGCAGCGTTGTTCACGCGCCAGGCTCCGACAACTTCACTGACGAAGACTGGCTCAGTGTGCCAGGTAAAACTATCGAGCACTCTGTATACTCCGCGTATTCCATCTTGCAGAAGCCTCAAGCTCTCTGAAGGTCTTAATCGATGTCCAGATACGGCTCGTTGATAATCATGCTGGCCCTCAAGCTCATTGAGTAGCAGAACCTGGCCGAATAAATGCTGCTTTGTGAAGGCTCTAAAACTATCAAAGGCCCTAGACTTGTTGGCAAGGAATATTAATGCTTATAACGCCCTGACAGGCAAACAGCAAGCTCGGTCCTCGTGAAGGGCCTACTGGCGAATTGCTCAAATAAGCAAAGACATTTTCATATAGAAGCAAGTTAATCGGTAGCGCCATCAACCAGTGGCGTGACCACTTCCGCGATGCCTAGACCTTTCTGTCCTTCGAGATCATTCCAAAACACGACTACCTCAGATCATGCGTCAAGAATGGGTCAGGCTAAATCCAGAAGACCCCCTTTGCGTGCTGTCTTGCTCCTTCTGTCGAACGACTAGCCCGAACAATTAGGTGTGCTGCTCTAGGAGATTGGGAATCGCATTGCCATATGAGAGCTCTCCACCGTGGGCCGACGCGGCGGATACTCATTGGCCAGATGAATCGCAAATCAGCGCCAGGAACCAGCTGCATGAGGCTATCAGGAACTGAAATGTCTATCTGCAGTGTACTTCCTCCAGAAAAAAGATATTAAAGTTACCACACGAAGGAAACGATCTAGGCCTCGAGGAACCATTGAGAATTGATGTGATGAGCCAGAAATCAGTCGGTTGTAGACCATACAGAATAATCTCTAACCTCATGCCTCTTGCGCAAGTCTGTCCACGTAGAGACGAAAGAAACTTCGAAAATTGAGTTGCCGGCTTTTGCGACGGGATCTGGCCAGCCCGAGTACCAACCACAATCGTATCGCGGGCAACACTCCCCAGAAGCGAACAATAAAACGATCATCACCCGGCTAGATTGACCTGGAGTACATGGGTACAATTAGGCAGCGATGGCTCAGGGGCATCCGGCGTCGTTCGACCGGCTCGTTCGTTTTAGCCCCAGAATGACCTCTGCGGCGCATGCATTGTCTCGACCGTTGCCTCCAGGCGACCAATGACCTCACAAGTCCAAAGAACCAATAATAAAACACATTATGCATCCCAAGTGGGCCATGGTGATCTGGCCGAATCCGGGGAAAGGTAAGGGAGGCGTGTGAGTGGCGGGCGGGATTTGAGTTGATGGGATTAATTAATTTCAGGGCACGGATCGGGATCAGTTGATGTTCTGCCCGGGATCCGGAGTGGTGTGTCCGATCAGACCATCCGGATACCCACCACCACAACCGAGGAGGAAAAAAGTACATATACTTTTTGTTGACTCAATTTACAACCCGAAAGCGAATCAACAGCGTGACGGGATATGCGCTGAGGAAGCCCATCATGGACTACACCTTCAACACCACCCTCGCCGCGCCGGCGACGGGCTCCTACCACGAGCTATACGAGATCGCCAGCCTGAACCCCAAACTGTCCTTCCTCGAGAAGCTCTGGTGGACGCACTACGCCTACTGGGACAACGACATTATCGCAACAGGTATGCCCACCCTGCAAAGCCCACACCCAAACCCCTTTCAATTAACCCCATGAACCCCAGGAATCATCACCTTCCTCGCGCACGAGATCCTGTACTTCAGCCGCTGCATCCCGTGGATCATCGCAGACGCCTTCCCCAGCCTCTTCCACCGCTTCAAGATCCAAGACACGAAAGCCCCGCCGTCGGCGCGCGAGCAATGGAACTGCGTGAAATACATCCTAGCAATCCACTTCATCGTCGAGCTACCGCTGATCGTCCTCTTCCACCCGATGATGGAATTTTTTGGATTGCAATACACCCTCCCCTTCCCCGACCTGAAAACCCTAGCCCTGCAGACCACCATCTTCTTCTTCGTCGAAGACACCTACCACTACTGGCTCCACCGCGCCTTCCACTGGGGCCCGCTGTACCGCGCCGTCCACCGCGTCCACCACCAGTACGCCACCCCCTTCGGCCTGACGGCCGAATACGCCAGCCCCTGGGAGACGATGCTGCTGGGCTTCGGGACCATCGGCCCCCCGCTCGTGCTGGGCTGGTGCACGGGTGAGGTCCACCTGATGACCGTGTTGGTCTGGGTCGCGCTGCGCCAGTTCCAGGCCATCGACGCGCACTCCGGGTATGATTTCCCCTGGAGCCTGCGCAGGGTGTTCCCGCTGTGGGGCGGCTCCGATTGGCATGATGATCATCATCGGTATTTTCGGGGCAATTATTCCAGCTCGTTTAAGCATTGGGATGGTGAGTTCTTCCTTTCTTGTTGTCGATTCGTGTGGATGGAAGTGCTAATGTGTTGGCAGTGTTGATGGGAACGGTTGCCGGGCCGAGGGGGAAGAAGATGAAGAAGAGTGAGTAAATGCCTGCAGGGTGCAGCGTGCGTGGGGTTCTGTTGCACTAGTGTCTGGGTTCGATTCTTGTGTATGATATTCGTAATAGTAATTCTTAATATGAGGATATGAAAGAGTTTTCACAATATGGGGGTGAGGTTTTACTGTAGCCTGGTCTGGTCGTGAACTGGACCGCTCAGTTGCTTGCTTGCTGAAACAAGAATCAGGCTCCGATTCTCCGCCTTGAGTATGCACCACTACCGGCGTAACAGCGGGTGAAGGCAGTGAAGTGCCGCATTCGGGTACCTTGAAAAGCTTGAGACCTCGTAGGCGAGTAAAAATTTTGGACTTGCGCTATGCTCGTGGGTTGATTGTGTCCTATTTAAACCAGGGTAGAAGGAAGTGGTGGGCGTGTTTCGGAGTTGGAATGGGTATGCGTAGATGGGTCGCGGCTGGAGGACGTACATGTCTGTGTATTGTGTAGCTTGGTCCAGAGGCAGAGCAATGTCTAAGACAAAGGCTGGGTGGTTTTTGAGTTTATAAGGGGGCTGGCTAATTCATGTAGATTACTTTCAGAGGCAACTGGCTGTATCGTGTTCCAGCCACGTTCAACTGCTACTGCACAAGCGAAGGCATAGTAATGATTGAGGGTAATGTACACGGAGAAAGTAAATGAGTGTGATGAAAGAATATTGCAGCGAGCTGGACTAATCTCCTTCTATATAGCAACATACAACATGAATCGCAGAGTACGGATCCACCATACACATGCACCTCTCCCCTTACAACATGATCATGGCCAGACCAGCACCGATGGCAGTGACGACGTAGGCACCGAGCTGGAGAGAGCCAACGGCCACCATGGAGGCACCGGTCATGTGGCCGGCGGAGGAGCTGGAGTCGGACGTGGAGGTGGAGGTGCTGGAGGAAGAGTCGTCGGTGGCGGTGATGGTGGCCGAGACGGAGCCGGTGCCGGCGGTGCCAGCTTGGGAGAGCATAGAGCTGCAGGTGCTGGCGGTGCTGGCGGCAGTGGTGGTGGCGGAGCCGGCGAAGCTGCAGGCGGAGTCCGACTTGTCCTGGCTCTCCCAGTAGCGGTTCAGAGCCCAGTTGAGCTGCTGCTTGGGCTCGCACATGCCGTAGTCACCGTAGGTGCCGGTGGTGGCGTTATGAAAGACGCCCGTGCAGGAGATGTAGCCGCAGACTTCACTGAAGAGGGTGGCGTACTTGCTGCTGGAGACAGAGTCCTTGACCACACACCCGGCGGCGGCGTTCATGCACGAGCAGAGAGCGCTGTTAGGAGACGGGGGCAGGGGAGTGGCCTTGGCCTCCCACGAGGTACCGACCGCCGGACAGCTCTGGAGCGCGGTGTTCGTCGGGGTGTAGGATGCCTTGTCAACACCGGAAGGCGTAGCACTCTGGATTTCCGAAGAGTAGTACTTGAAGTCGGCCATCGTGCTGACACTTGTGCTGTCAATGGCGGAGACCAAACCTGAAGTATATTAGAATGTAAGAATGCACATGTTCACCGAGCAACCTACCGTAGTCGTTACTAGTCTGGAAATACATGTAGACGATACCACCAGACCAGACGCCGTTCATCTCGTCACCGTAGAGAGCCTTAATCTCGGTGAACTCGCGAACACCGTTGGTGTTGCAACCGTACTCGGAGAAGAAGACGGGAACGGAGTAGTTCTTGAATTGCGCGGTGCGTGCCTCGTAGCCGGACTCCTCGTAGGTGGAGTTGCCGCACCAGGAGTAGATGTTGTAACCCCAGAAGTCGACGCCCACATCCTCACTCTCACAGTTGAAGTAGTCGGCCATGTTGACACGAATGTCAGCGTCGTCGTTGGTGGCATAACCCACACCCATGGAGCGGTAGCCCTTCGCCTTGATGTAGGCCTTCGAATCGCGGACGGCGGCCTTGACGAAAGCGCTGGCATCGGTCGTGTCGATGGTGTTGGAGACCTCGTTACCAGCAAAGAAGCCGAGGGTGTTGTTGAACTGGGACATATCATCGATGACCTCCTTGTAGCGGGCGAAGAGGCTGGTCTCCCAGGTCGGGCTGTCCCGATCGATGGACTGGGTGGGGTCCGACAAGTCGGTGATGACATAGATGCCGGCTTCAGCCAGCATGTTCATGCACTCAGTGTGGTTATTGGTAGGGTCGATGGCATAAGTACGAATGACATTGGTTCTGATCTCTTGAAGGTAGGGAATATCCCGCTTGCAGGTGGTGGCATCAGCCAGAGGGTCGACGTAGCTGGTAGAGCTGCTGGAGCTGCTGCTGGTGGAGTTGGAGTCATAGTCGGCTTGAAGCCATTAGAGTCTGCTTGAAGTCAAATGTGTTCAGAAGACATACCCTGATAGGCAACACCACGAATATAGCTAGGCACTGTTAGCAAGGTCGATGCAGAGGGAGCAAAGTCACTTACAACTGGGTGTTGTTGCTGCTGTAGAAGAATTTGGAGCCCTTGGAGCTATTAACGGCAGTCCAGTAGGGTAGGTAGCCAGCCTCCTACCTTGATGACGATGGGATCAATGTCTGCCAGAGCAGATCCCGCAAAGGCTGCCGCTCCAAGAGCGAGAGAGAGCTTCATGATGCTAGGAGTTTGTTCAAATCAAGTGCACGAAAGGAAAAACGCAAACACAACCAGGGATATAAGGATAACGAGTGAATGGAGGACAAAAAACGAATGACGAGTATATCAAAACCTCAGTCCGCTTACAACAGGGAACTGAGAGGGGAACATATAACCGTTCTTCCAAGGAAAAACCTGGCACAGGCTATTTTAAAAGAACAGCGTATAATTAGCAACCCTCAAATTTCTCCTCCGATGCAAGTTGCCAGAGCTGTGGCCTCTCAAACCTCCTGGCTGGGGCCCGCTATACAAGCGAACGCGTCACCCACCATCACGCCGGTTGACAGTTGTAGTGGACAGGACGGTGCTAGCAAAGGACTAGTGATTAGAGTTGCTCGGGGGCGTCCACTCGCGGCGAGGCGCGAAGCCATTGGACTGAAAATTCGGTAGACGAACGATGGTGAAGTGGGACGGTGGCCGAATTGGTGGGTGGAGGATGCGTCGTCGTGGTGCCAAAGTGGATGCCTGATCTTAGAGAAGAATATTTTTCCCTCGAGTGGGGACGGCAGTCGCGCTGGCTATAAGTACCAGTAATTAGCGCATGTCGCCCGGAGGTGGCAGACGAAGAGGGGGCCAGATATTTGGCAGGAAGTGTAAGACAACAAAGAGATCATGGTTGTTTGTAGATAGATTAGCAAGTAGATGTACTGCAGATGATGAAGTGTAAGAAGTTGAGCTGTCATCGATGACTGACGGACGGGTTGTCGATCCCGGCCTGAGGTACGCCTGAGGCAGCGAGCGGTTCGACGGAGTTCGGCAAGCCCCAGACGCTCCCGACCGAAGATGCAGAATTACCAACTACGAGGATTCCAGAACACATCTCATCTCAAAACAAAACAGAGGTTTGACATCGATCATCGCTTCCATTACATCATTGAACGCCTCCCAATAATACAATCTGCCAGAATTGAAACATAAACAATAAATCGTACACCTCTAGAATTTCCGCCCTCAGTCTTTCTCAGCGTCCTCCCTACAAGCCAGCATTTTCTCGTCTGCGTCGTTCAATAGCCGCCTCAAAGGACCGGATTGTATCCAAGGGCCGCTCGAATCGATAACGGGTAGGGTTGGACAAGTCAGGATCCGCTGTAAGAGCAGTCAGTCAGTCAAACCGGCATGTCGAGACAGGGGAAAGGGGAAACGCACTGATCAGCTTGCCCTCGCGGTCGCGATGCTGCATTGAGCGTAGGGAGAAGCCATTCGAACCGACACTGTCCACTACAGCCATGCCAGTTAGTTCTGGTGTTGTGGCAATCAAACATGCAATCTCCTTGCATCCACTAACCTGCACGCTCCCCCATTAGGGCCGAGTTCGGGTCGGCGCTGCTCGAGAGCGAAGCCTTGTGGTTGTGCTCTGCCGGGCGCCCGGACTCGGGCCGGTTGTCACTAGACGCGATCGAAGGTGCCATGTTTTTTCTTGTTGCCTTGTGCCAAAGATCGATGTGTGCGTGTCTAGATACGTGCGTGATCAAAACAAGGAACCACAGATGCAATGGGAAATAAAGCAGTGTTGCTGACGTTGGAGAACAGGACTGGACGGGCGTCTAATAACTAATCCCCCCGGTCAGTCATTACACACCTACGTATGCAGTCAGCAAGTTATGCATGGGTGAGTCAACCAATGGCGAACCCCGGTCGCTAGCGAAACACCAACATCAGCCCTCTGAGAATCACTGTTTTTAGAAACGGGCATGTGAATAAGGTGCATGGAACGCCATCTGCAACCTCAGATCACGCAACTGGCACCAATGATGACACTGGGTGCCTTGGTGCCTGCGTGCCGTGGCTTGTGACGCGGCAGGTCGGGGCCCCCGTGACGTGTGCTCGCCTGTTGTTGGTTGCCATTCTGCAACTCCCCAGGACCAAGCTTCCACTAAAGTCGAGGACCCAAGGCTTAGCACCCCCGGTGGCCAACAAGAACCGAGCCTCGGGGATCCGCCTACGTTAGGGGCCACGCAAGCATGATGGGCTGTGTGATTCTAGGCAACCACAATCTCAATTTGCAGATGTCGCCGTACCTGAACTCAGTTCCTGGTTACGCCGTACCTTGAAAGAAAAAGATCTCCGAAGTTTCACATCGACATCAACTAAGCTTCGAGGGGTCGCCTCACACTACCTAAGTTAGAATTGCTTCAGCCCAGAAATGTGATGGGGATGACCAAATGCGGGATGATCCTCTCCCCTTCCGGAATGCTGGGGGGCGCATCACTTGTGCGCCGAGGCTATTCGCCACCCTCGACCCAGAGGTAACGGAAGAGGTATTATCAGATTAGGATTAATTTTTTCCCTCGCAGCGGCGTGACCACGCCCCATCGCTCCAGGAGGACCATCCGCCTGCAATTCTAGTCTCCTAGACGAAGTCTCACCTTTCCGATCGAGCAGACGGCCGACACAGTGGCATCTGAAACATGGTGCTCGCTTGTTTGATCTGCGGCACATCCCCAAGCCACGCCAAGACATCGGCACGGTAGTATCCAGCCCAGCCTGCGGTTACGTACTCGATTACCTTTCGATTTCGCGTGTCAGTAATGCAGCAAGTCAAGTGCCCATCATTTTGAATCGGTTGCCGTCAAAACTCTGGACAAGCCGTTCGCGCCTACAGTAGATGTTAGCAAAGTGTTGATCATCACAGCCTCGTCTCGAAAGAGTTGATCAGTCGCCGAACCACACAAGCGAACTATCAGTACAAGGGCATGTCTTACCTGGGGATAAACCATAAACCACCGGGGATAAAATCACTTCCTCTCATTCTTCTCACTATCCTCCACCACCCTTTCTCCAGTGGACAAACCATCTTGCAACATATGGGCTGTTGCCCATTTACACGGTAAACCCCAACTCACCAGAATCCCACCCATCACTCCAGAACGTAGACACGCGCATACAGACCGCAAAGAAACTCTACAACCTCCCAATAGAACCACAGTCAACCTAAAAACTCTTCATCTACTCCTAACAAAACCCAGTCCCGCACCGCTGACTCAAGCCCCCCAAAAAGGAAATCAAGGCCGTACCCCCCCCCCCCCCCACAACTCCACCGCACCAAGTCTACGGAGACCTCCGCGGCAGTCGGCACTCGTTACCAGAACCGGTAAAGTCCCCACCCCCTGAGACAATAACATCCGAGTCTGAATGGACGAATGTCCGAGGGAGCAACAGCTACAGACGGAACCTACGTGCGTACATTATTCGAATCCTCCCTAGGGACGTCCGAGTAAGGTTGTGGGTTGTGGCTGAGGGGTGTGCGTTTCTGCATGCTGAGCCATCGTGTCTATCATACTGTGTTTTGGAGCCACCGAGAGACTGGTTGAATGAAGGTCCGTCCGTACATAGTACAATTTTGCTGGAGAGCGATCGGGGCGATAGATAGACAGGAATCCTGCTGCCTTGGACTAAAGTGAGAAGTGAGACATCATGGTTGTTATCACGTACGGCCGGATAAGTTCTGCGATTTTGAGCGGAGGTTAGTGCTTTCTTGGTTGGAATGGCGTATCTTCTGTAGACTGTCGTGTGAGGATCTGTCGAGGGTGTAACATTAGTGCTTGGCTCCACCATTTCAATGTGTTGTGAAGTAGGCGTAGGGTGTAGCCTGAAGGCATCCGTGATATGGCGGTTGGGGGTGAGGTTTTGGCCGGGTGTGGATCTAATGGGTGCTTTGTGGGGTGATTGCATTGTAGATTGATGGGTGTAGATTGGTACAGTACAGTTAGGAGAAACTGGAGATGTGGTTGCCTGCTAGCAGGTTGAGAGTATCAGCAGTCATCATCCCTGAGTTCGTTGTAGACGGTGCCAGAAACGCTATCATCCATGGCAGCGACGGAGCACTTTTCAGATAGAATCATCATAACAGACCTCCCAAAGCTCACTAGGCCCTCCATCATCTCACCAGCGACACAAAGCCAACCCTCAAAGAGGTGTCTACATCCTCAAAACCCCCAAAAACCCATCCCACAGCCCCCCCCACCGAACCCCCTCCCTCCGCACAACCCAAACCACAACCCCAACCAAAACAACCCCCCTAACCACCTTCCACCCACACTCCCTCAGATTCAACTGCATACACGCGCGATGTCGCGCCAACATATCGGCCTTGGTATTCCCGTTCGGCACCGGCACCGCGGGGACGGGCTGCCCCAGAAACGCACACAACGGCTCCCACCCCTCCTTGACATGGTACAGCAGCAGTCGGTCCTTGGGCACTAAGGCCTGAATCTTGGCCACGTGGTTGCGGTACGTCTCGCGGGCGGTGGTGCGGACATCCTCCCCGTAGAGACATAACCCGGCTTTGAGGAAGGTCTCGGGCACGAGACGGAAGCGGGAATGCAGAAGGTTGTTGATGATGTTGATGATGGGCACGAGGAGGTGTTTGTTGAGCGGGGTGTCAATTGCGGTGACGAGGGTCATCATTGATCTGGGGATCAGTTAGCGCTGTTCTCTATGACGAGGGGACGGGACGGCTGGGATTGGAAGATAGGTGTACGTACTCGTACCATTCGTCGACGTCGCGGACTGTGATGATGACTTTTGCTTCCGGGTAGGCTTGGATGAGGTCTTCTGCGAAGCAGATGGCTGGAAGGTCGGAGACGGCCTATGGCATTGTGCGTTAGCATGCAACTGCTGGACTTCCGTATACCAAGTCATGGCGTCTGGGTTACAACAGCTGATAACAGCCAGAGCCTGGTAAACTGACCTGACAATGCCCCAACAGCCGATCCCAGTCCTCGCGCCCGAACCGCTGTCCCAACCCGTCGTACTTCGCTCGCAAAGCTTTCAGCCACATCTCGCAGTCGCGTGGGTTGGTGATCATTGCTTGGTATCCGTGGTATGCTTCGTGGTAGCCGAGGATGCGCAGGGCGTCCATTAGCGCTGGAGATAGGTATGTGTATGTCAGCTACCGCTTCATTGACGTTGGGAGCGACTCGTCAAGCCTGGGCAACCTGCCACAGGTAAACACTCACACTCGGATCCCGTCCTCGTCAGACCCAGCGAAAGAACCCGCATGGGCACGATGCGCGAGCACTCCTCGCGGTCGATGTCGGTGACATGGAAGACGCGGTTGCCGGCTTCGATGGTTGGCATGGTGGGTTGTAGCTGTCAAGCTGGTGGGGATATCTTCGATGCTGCGTTCTATCGCCAGGGTGAGCTTGCTTGGTCTGCTCAATCGGGTGTTTGTGTAACGATGGCCGTCCAGTCCGTGGGATGGTCGTGTGCGCGCTACGTTTTCGTTAGAGGTTCCCAACTCAGTGTCCGGCGTAGGGTATTGCTTTGGTGATGAGGCAAGGCCAGCCGAGATTAAGAGTGGCTCTTAGAGATTCTGATCTCAGGCAGAACAAATCACGTCGATTGTAGATGATAAGCAGACTGATGAGACAGCTGTACGGGTGGGCGAGCGCGTTTGTTGTGATGATCGCGGGGAAATTCCGAGAATGTGATCTGTCATCGTAGATCCCAACCCCCTTAAAAAAAGCAACGCTGTCAGCTCGTGATCACAACACAGCTCAGTATACCCTCGAACCAGTCAGCAACCAAGAATACAACTTATTTGATAACACAAGGTATAGTTATTTCACTTACCATATAGAGGAGCTTATGCTGCCACCCAGTTATGAATTGACCAGATCTGGGTCTTTTGTTAACAATCTATTGATCCATCCGAGAGGCCATCAATCAATTCAACTGCGTTGTTCCACCCCCGCATTCTTCACTTCAGAGATGCATCCGAGTCACGTGCATATTGCAAGAGATGGAGTCAACAGCTCATGGATCATGGATTTGCTGCCACAGAGCTTCTTTATGGCTGCCTTATTCATCATTTCTGAAAGTCTTGCTTATTCGGTGTTATATATGCTCAGAGACGTCATCAACTCTTTCTCCGAATCATGGGTGTAAGCGGCATGGATTTGAGGCTGGGGAATGAGTCCACTATATCTGTTATCTATCCCGAGATGTGATACCTTAACCCGAAAGTAGTAAACAGAACCATCTCGCTAGCAGAAATCATACACGACATATACTAAGTCCCCACTTGCGGGGCACTTTATACTACATTTCACTCACCCAAGGTATATCTTACTCATCTGCACATCATTCCCCTCCTCATTAAACGCCATATCCATCTGATACACCTTGCGGTTCAACAACAACACCCGCGAGGGATGCCATACCGCCATCACCACCATCCCCAGAAGCATGGGCAACGCATCAAACACATACGCAAACACCTCATGCCGTCCCAAACACCCGTCGCTACCGGTGGTCCCGGCACTTGCGTACTCCACAAGTCGGTACACCGAGCGCACCAGGATCATCGCACTGGCGAAGTAGAGGGCTAGCAGGGTGGTCTCCCAGGTGGCATGGAACCAGCCATCGGTGGCGATGCATGAGGAGATGGATTTCGAGGAAGGACTGC